CGGGGGCCCCCTAGCCAGGGCCCCTAGGGCCCCATCCTCATCTCATCATATTCCTGGGGCCCCTGGGAGGGGCTGAGAAGCTGAGAAGCTGAGAAGGGCCGCGAGGGGCGCTCGAAAAAGTCGTCGCCGTGCGACGCGATGGCAACACAACGCACCGCGATTGCAACGCGATGCGACGCAAAGCAATGCAATGCAACGCAATGCGATCGCAAGAAATGCAACTCCGGGCACCCCGGGCACCCGGGCACCCCTCGGATTGAACCACGCAGCAGCACCATTCTCGCAAGCTGTCGCCGCTGCGCAAGAGATCCGCCAGCGGCGCGGACAGGCACGCCGCCAGCGGCCCTGCCGCCGCCTCGGCCCGCGCACCTCCCTGGAACCCCGGCCCCGCCTCGGGCCGCGCCCCTCCCCGCCCGCGGAAGCGGCGCGCGGACAGGGCCGCGCCGCCCCAGGCACGCAGTCGTCGCGCCCTGCGCGCGGAGGCGCTGCCCAACATTTCTGTCCACAACTTCCCAGGGAACGCCGCGAACGTTGAAAATATCCTCGGGGCGTTCCGAAGTTCAGAAGACGCTCGAACAACGTTTCCACGTTTCTCGGGGACGGGGGGTCGGGGCGGGCGGGCATGGATGGGGGGGGGGAGGGGCAAGCAAGAGTAGGGCGAGAGCTCCAATTGGCCGAACGGGCCACGTGGTGGGAGCGGGAGTCGGAGCGGGGGATGGTGGGCGCGGTGGTGGGGTGGGGACGGGAAGGTGAGATCCCCGGCTCCTCAACAACTGAACGGAGGTGGGAGGTGTCGAACGGCGCCGCGGGGCCACCGACACCTGGAGGCAGGGTGGACAGATGGGCCATCACCTGCGTTCTCAAGGCAGTCTCCTCCCGTCGATCACGAGCATCGCGGCCGCCGATCTCCACGCTGCACTCTACGACGTGGCGAAGGGAGTTGAAACGACAGCACGGGAAGTCGCCCTCGCTGGGCGAGAACGCGTACCCGTACAGCGCCACTGCGATCCTAATGGGTGGTCGGTCTCATCATTATCCTCATCCTCTCCCTCCTCTTCCTCCTCCTCCTCCTCCTCTTCCTCCTCCTCCGCCGCCTCCTCCTCCTCCTCCTCCTCCTTCTAATCCCCCGCCCTCCCACCCGCGCCTCGGGCCCTGGCCCTCGAGGTCGGCGGCCGCCGCCGCCGCGGCCGCGGCCATCGCGCCGCCGCGGGGCCCGCGGCGAGGTCGCGGCGAGGGCCGCGGTTTCGAGAAGAAAGTCGGCGCCGCGGTGACGGCCACGCCGACGCCGACGCCGACGCCGACGCCGACGCCGACGACGACGACGACGACTCACGACGACAGACGACGACTACGACGACGCGACGACGGCGGCAGCGGCGGCAGAGACGGGCGCGTCGAACAGAGAACGACTCGAACGACAATCTCCCGGGGGACACTGCATAAGAACAAAAAAAAAAAAACGGCGAACGCAACTGCGTGAAAACCGTGCAAATGTCAACCGACCCCAACAAGAATCCCCCTTCGAAAATCTAACGCTTAAATAGTCATCGACAGAAAAAAGCACACGGCGACTCCTTCATATACGATCCAGAAACTTGAATTTGCTGGATCGAGCTACGCGCTACTCCAGATTTCTCACGCCGACAAGAGACGTCATATAAAACGAAAGCTGATTCTCATTCCCCAATGGCAACAACGAGCGTGCGAAAAATACGGCTTAACATATCTTAATGTGTATTTCCACACTGCGTGTACTTAGCACTGCGAAAATATGATCGGTAACCCAACCCAGCAATAACAAAACCTCTTGAAAATTTCTCTTCCTAAAAAACATAGCCGCGCAATAATTCACAAACCCCCAGGTACTTGAAAACAAAATCGTTGAATTCGGAGTGTGCCCAGACCCGGTCGGGGAGCCAAAATCCAATGCTATTTCAACCGGCGTTTATCACATCCCCAGTGGTTAGTTAAGCCGTCTAGCAATTTGCTTCCCGATCCAACGGGATACTGCATCCCATCCACTTGCATGGATTCGAGTAGGTGTCACTTGCACACGCACGAGAGTATCCGTAGCATTCAAAGGCGTCTTAAGTATATTGCTGAGAACGAGCCTGCTCGGCTGGATGGTCTGGAGATCCTGCTTGGCTTTTCATTTAATGCAGCATCTATATTGCAGGACGAGGATCTCGGCCTGCGATTGCCCGAAGAGGTTGCGTGGGATTGGGTGCACTGCTACATGGTGGGAGGAACGTTCGAGCGAGAGGTGAATGCATTTTTGGAGTGCTCAGGGCGCCACAATCTAGGCATTGACAAAAAACTGCAATCGTATGCTGAAAAATGGGTCTGGCCAAGAGGGTATGCTCATGCCAAAAATGTTTGCCAGGGTCGCACATTGAATGGTAGTGCGTCAGAGTTCGTTTCACTTGCACCAGTTCTCGAAAAGTGGGTTTCCGATGTTGTGGCTAAGTTTTCGGTTCGGGCGGATGTGTTGAAAGATGAGGTGGCCAGCATATTAGCATTGTGTAAAGTTGTGGGGATGCTGATCAATGCTAACAGCGGTTTCGTAGCACCAACAATGTTGAAAAGGCAAATGGATACACACATGGCATGTCATCAAATTGCGTACGGAATAGAACTCTTCAAGCCTAAAGATCATCTAGACCAGCACCTTCCAGCCCAGATGGAAAACCAGGAGTGTCTTCTTTCAACCTTTCTTCATGAAAGGAAACACCGAGTAATTAAAACCATGGCTCAGGGGCGACATGGTCTCCAGGGGTATGATAAGGGGATCATGGAAGAAGTCACGGTGCAACATTTGCACGACATAGCTCATCACAAGTTGTTCGGGGTTGATTTGCTCGGCCCGAAAAAGGCTGGCAACAAATTAATCAATGCGTTGTGCCATACTTTGCCAATTGATCCCAACGCTGAGGATCTTGTGAGCTCGGCCTCCGCTCACGTCAACGGCAGGGCAGTTTACCTCGGGGACGTCGTTGCGTTTAGGGATGAGCGAGGCGAGCTTGCTTTCGGTGAAATATACATTTTCATGCAAATATCAGGTGCACTCGTGAGTGTGGTTTCAAAATGGGATCTGATAGAGCTGTGCGATTCGCATGCGAAGTGCTTGGTTCGTTCTGCGCCCATGCTCCTCCCACTCCAGAACATACTGGAGGCGTGCATCTTCTTTGGTGCTCAGGAGGGCTCAGTGTCTCACGTGCTGTTCCCCCAGAGGCTTCAGATCAGCTTGAAAGCCTGACTCTGGGTAGATACAAAGGGGAGGGGGGAACCTCAAGAGGGGGAATAGCAAAATGGGTTACAAGGTTCGGGGACGGTGCATCTGCCAGTAGATATGCTTGACGTTGGCTCTTGTTCTGAGCATGCCACGGCTGAAAAACACAACAACATAGCACCCATCATCGTTGCATCATAAGCATAAGTACGACCATCAACATCAACATAAATGGTTAACATCGACATCACCAGCATTAGCATCATCGTCATCACCCTCATCAGCACCATCGTCATCACCACCATCGTCAGCGTCTCCGCCATCACCCACCCGTCGATACTGATCTGACGATCCCGAGCCGCCGACCCAGAAATCGAGGGGGTCCGACCCTCCTTCCCTTCTCTCTCACACCTTATATCCCTGCTCCGACCCTCTCCGCCTCCGCCTCCGCCTCCTCATGTTTCCTCCGCCTCATCCCACTTTCTCCGTCCTCATCCTGAATTTCCTGCCTCCTCCACCTCTTCCCCCTCCCCCCGATACTGAACTTCCACTTCCATTATCATCTCCCCCCCTTCCCTTTTTCCAAAGCTCCTCCGCCTTTTCATCCTCATCTTCCTTCTTTTTCCAAGCTCCGCCTCTCTTTTTTGAGAACGGCCCCCCCTGCTAACCAGGTTAGCGCACTCAGCTATCCAAGATAGTATCCTGGTTATAACCTCACGGCTAAGTTGGTTCCCAAGCTGGTTACTATCTGGTCGGCTAAGTGGGCCATTGCGCTCATAAGCTGATCCCATCCACCCTATCTACCAAGCAAAGAGGGTGAGCATCCCAGTAGTGACCCCCCCCGGTTTTCCGGAGGGGGGGGGGGGGAGGGGTTCGAACCGGTAGTGACCCCCCCCGGTTTTCCGCCAGGAGCGGTAGAACACGCTCTTTCCGACCTCACGCCGCCGGGGGCCGGGGGTGGTAGAGCCGCCGAGGCGGGACGCCCCGAGCACCCAGCCCCTGGGGGGTCCTGGAGGGCATCGGAGATACACAGACACAACAGCTGCGCTTCGTTCGGCGGCCAGCCCGGGGAGGGAGGAGAAGAAGGAGGAGGAGGAGGAGGAGGAGGAGGAGGAGGGGGAGGGGGAGGAGGAGGAGGGGGAGGGGGAGGAGGAGGAGGAGCAAGCCTTCTCAAACCTCGGAGGTCCCCCGGCCTTCCGAGCAGCTTTCGCAGCTTTCCTCGAAGACACAGAACACCTCTCAGAAGCCGCGGGCGCTGCTGAGAAGTCCAACCGCCTTCTGGAGAGGCCTTCTCCTCCTCGCATCCCCTCGCCAGCAGCCGATTATTGGAAGAGAAGGAGGATGCTGTTCAAGAGGTTCCGGAAGCTCAGGAGGAACTTCCCCAGGGAGGAGGGCGAGTCTTGGGGTGGCCCACATAAGCGAAGATCAGAAAACAGGTCTTACGCGAGATGACGTAGCAACCTTACGCGGTGGCTTACGCGGACCACCAGCGCGGCATGCTGCTCTGGAAGCGAGGGCGCTTATGCGTGAACTTACGCGGGAAGCTTGCGCTCCAATGTCGGCACAGACGACCCCGTTGTTCTGCGTCGCTCACGTGGGGCCCAGAAGCCCCTCCCCAGATATGGAGAAGTGCAGGGAGAAGGCAGGAAACGCATGGCGGATAGACTCCTGGGCCCCATCGCAGCCAAAAATGTGCGTCTGCCTACCCGCCGATGGCAGCAACTGGCCCCATGACCGTTCGGCAATAGGTGAAAGCATCAACGACGCTCCTCTAGTACACCACTGCCGCACATCGCCTGCGCTTCGCGGCAGTGGAGCTCGAAAAAGCGTTGCACAAAGTCTCCGATACAGGGGTCGGCTTGACTGATGCACGCGTAAAACAAATACGTGCGCACATTTTGCGTGGGTGTCCGTTTGCGCGTGCAAATGAGCAATCCAGAGAATGTGCACATGTTACTGGGCGTGTGTGCCCGCTAATACTTGCTTGAGTTCGCGCGTACGTGCATGTGAGTGCGCCCCTGTGTGTGTGTGTGTGACCGAGGGGGCGTGCGCAGGTGAGCGATGCCGAAAATTCGCCAGCCCAACGGGCCAGATGTGTGCTAAAATCTGCGTTAAGAGTCTCAGAATTATCCTACTTCGCGGGCGCGTGGCGGGTCCCCGGACGAGCAACACCCCGGCAAGGTCCCGGCAGGTTCCCGGCGGGGTCGGGCCAAGGATGCCAGACCTCCTGGGCACGGCCCTGGGGGCCCCCGAGCGCACCGAGGCGCCAAGAAGGTGGCCAGCCCCGCGGCATGAGGCCAAGAGCTCTCCAAGGTGACCCAAGTTGGTCTCAACACGGCCGAGGAGGCGACGAAAGACTCCCCAGGAGGGCTCAAGGACGACTCCAAGAGAACCCCGAGAGGCACAGATCGATGCCCTGACTGCAATGTTTGAAGGATTCTGGGGTTACCGCATGTTGAAGCTTCCGACCGCCCAGGACGGCCCAAGAGGCCTCCAAGATCGCCCCAAGTCAGCCCGAGAGGTTGCTAGGACGGCCCTAAGACGTCCCGAGAGGGCCTCAAGACTGCCAACGAGGCATCCGTCCGCAGAGGGCTCCAGAGGCTCCCATGAGGGCCCCAAGAGGGGGAACCAAAACCGACAAATCGAGCCTTCCCCGAAGTTGGCCCACGAGGCCGCCAACAGGCCCCCAAGAAGCCCTCAAATGGCCCCTGGAAACACATGAGCCAGGGACGAACCCAACCCTTTGTACACATGAGGCGACTACACATCGGACCGCTCAATACAAAAGCGAGCACTGAGGGATCTGCAGTACCCTTGAACGATTCGCCAAAGAACGCCGGGCCAGAGTCACATGTTCACATATACGGCGTCGCTCTTAAGAGTCAGATCGTCGGCGGGAAGGCGGCCACGAGGGAGTGAGGAAACACGAGGAGTAGAGATGATTGGAGACATAATTTGTGGGAGCAACGCCGCTGCACACCCCAACGTCGGAACCCAGAGGACAGCGAGGTGCCGTGGTGATCTGCCTAAGACGCACCTCCGCTGGGCCGCCCAGGAGCCCACGAGATCGGCGACAGTTTCGCAGATCGCAGCCCCCAATGGGGACGGCAAGGTCTCGTGGTGGGCAGCGTAAGACGCACATCCGCTGGGGCTCCCAGGAGCCCACGAGATCGGCGACAGTTTCGCAGGTCGCAGCCCCCCAGGGGACGGCGAGGTCTCGTGGTGATCTGCGTAAGGACGCACCTCCGCTGGGGCTCCCAGGAGCCCACGAGATCGGCTACAATTTCGCAGGTCGGAGCCCCCCAGGGGACGGCGAGGTCTCGTGGTGAGCTGAGTAAGACGCACCTCCGCTAGGCCTCCAAGGAGCACACGAGCGTGGCGACAGTTTCGCAGATTGCAGCCACCCCAAGGGACGGCGAGGTCTTATGGTGATCTGCGTAAGACACACCTCCGCCGGGCCTCCCAGGAGCTCACGAAAGGGGACGGCGAGGTCTCGTGATCTGCGGAAGCCGCACCTCCGCTGGGGCTCCCAGGAGCCCGCGGCACCTCCGCTGCGCAAGTGACGACACCCGAGCTAGCCGCAGGCACGAGGCAGGGCGCAGGCGGGAGGAGAGAGGGAGAGGAGGGAGAATGGAGGAGGCGAAAGGAGGGGGAGGAGGAGAGGAGGATGAGGCAGACAGTGCTTTATTCTAAACGACTGCCCAGCCAAGGGGGGTGGGGAAGAAGGATGCCCCACGGCGCCCCAAAAAAGCCCGAGGAGGTCCCCAAAATGCCGCCAAGAGGCCCCAGAGAGGCCTCCGAAGAGACCCCAAGAAGCCTACCAGAGGGTCGTATTGTCCGCGACCTAGTTTAGTCCCCGGTCCCCCAAAAGGCAGTCATCCTGCTCTCCCTCCTCTCCGATCGAGTCCCCTCTTCTCCTTCTCGCCCGCCATGGGCAAACCAACATGTGGAAACAGCGGTGCAAGATGGACCAGCGGAGTGAGCGAGACGATGAAAAACAACTCGTCCTCACCACCTGTCACGTCTTCCCCTCCAGCTCCTCTCTGCTCCCCCTCTCCCCTGCTCTCGGCGGTGGACAGACCTCCCTTTAGCAAACCTCCCCTTAATGAAAACGCCTGGGACCGAAACCGACGGACCTGGACCCGCAAACATAACGGCCGTGACGCCCTCTCGCGAACCGAAAACGGCCAATTCATTAATCGACGTGTCAGGGTAGGAGGTCTATTCACCTCCCCTGCTCGCGTGCGTCCTTCGCCGTCGCCACCCCACGCTCGGGTCCTCCAGCAGGCACTGGCGGTCCCAACCCAAACCAGCTGGAAACGAATGCTCGCCCGGCAGGAGCACCACATGGTGCAGAGACTCTAGAAACGGCTCCTGGATTTATGTTGGCCCCATCCTACTTAAGGACCACATCCCAGAAAGAATTTCGAGCACCCAGAAAAGTGTCAAAAGAGTGCCGAAACAGTGTCGAAACAGTGTCGGGCGAGTGCCTCCCAGGGCCCGACATGTGAAAACCCTTGAGTTTCGATGCTATGTCGGCCGCTCGAAATTCTTCTTGGTGATCAAGGCTAAAGTAGGCTGGAGCATCATAATCCTGGATGCTGCGGGCACAGACGTCAGCGCAAGCCTTGTTGGCTGCGTCGAGGCTGGGAGTGGAGATGCGCAGAAGCGACGGCACGATCAGCATGCGCAGACACTGCCCAGAAGGCGGCATGAATGCGGCCGATGCCCAGAACCACGTTTCCGCCTCCAAATCGTCATCGTCATCCTTCTCCTCCAACCCGTTCCCCTCGTGCTATGTATCCCTGCCCACACCCGCAAACTCCTCTTAGTGGTCTTCCGAGGGCAACACTTTGCAGAGGCGTGTGTCCGCGTGATGCTGAAACAGGCAGGGAGCACTAAAGCCCGAGCTTTTCAGCTAGAACGCGCCTCGCTGCTATCCTAGCGGGCGACCTTCCCCTTCACGGGCTTGAGCACCTGGATCTCGCCCGCTCCCGTGCACGACCCCCCCCGAGGGCAAACACGGTCAAGAAAGACGGGCTGCCGCCGACACGCACCGCGAAAGCCGAAAAGCAGCATGCACCCCAAACGACATCGAGTGTTGAAGCGTGGACGACAAGAACGGTTTGCCCCAGAAGGGGCCCCGATGGTCGAAAGCATACGGCGGCCACGATGTAATCGGCAACTATAAATCATATCGCCGAGCATCTGACCGCAATACTGTTTCGACGTGCTCCCAAGCCAGAACGCGAAACACCACTCTAAGCGGACACACGCACACTTTTTCGTTAGCGGCCCGAGGAGACACAAATCAAGCGCCGGTCGCATTGGACAGGGCACGAGCCGAGCTCAACATATTCTCAGACGCTCCGACCGCGGAGAAATGCAAGCAATTTCGCCAACAACGGTCCCAAGCTACGGTAATCGTCACGTAGGAGCAACCACGACCTCAAGAACAACACAGGTTTGTTTGCCGCAGCAAGGGGAAACAACTAGAGCGGCAGGCATCAAGCAGCGCAGTCAAGCAGGCACCAACGCCTGAGCAGAGCACTGCACAGATGCACAACTGCCAGCAGGGAAATCCGCCAGGGAGGGGAGATAGGACCCGAACTACACAACGATACACATACACACACGCACACACGCGCACTCAAACACACACACACACAAACGCACACACACACATACACACACACACTTGTTTGACAGCGGCGACGCGCAGGAACGAATCGTCGGATAGCAATCCGGACACACCCTTGTTCCTCGACTGGCCAAAATGGAAACCCAAACACAAACACAAAAACACAATCACACGTGCGCGCATTGTGCCATCCTCCGCAACGTTGAAAAACAAATGGACAACACAAAGGCGGGCAGCGGGCCGGCCGGGCAAGCGACACGCGGGGAACACGTCGGGGCACGAAACAAAACACGAGGAAGGCGCCTTCGCTCTAGGCAGCGGGTCGCGACCTCAGTACAGGACCGCGTTGCCAAACGCGCACGCTAATGCGCACGCACGCACGCACACGCACACTCACGCACACTCGTATGCAAACCGACTCATGAGCAAGCGCAAACACGCACACTCATATGCAAGCCCAACGTGTTGCCACAAGGACGCGTAAGCCTCTCATCAACTCAGAACAGATGCAAGCAACGCGAAGCCTGGGCAACATGTGCTGTGGAGAACCCCCACACATTGCACCAAAAACGACGACAGTTTACCCGCAACCAGGTCTGAAACAGAAAAGGCAATCGACATTCACCTTTCGTCAAGCGATCGCACTCTGCCATAAAAAAAAGAGATCCATTACACGGAACCCGACACAACACTGTCTCCATCCACCGACGCGACGACACATCAGCCTTTCAGTGCCGAATCCTGGACCGAGGACTGATTCAAAGGACCAGGGCAAAACATCATCAGCAAGCACAACTAACATGCACGCTGACATGTGCCTCCGATGTATCTTCCAAGAGACCCCGAGAGGGCTCTGAAAGACGTCTAGCCCACGATTGAGGCGCAATGGCGGAGTGGGTCGAAGGCACACAGATGTGGCAAGTCAGTAGTAAAATGCGGTGCGCTACAGTTGACAGCAGCATGGATATCGAAGCGAAGTTTGCCGACGAGGTCATGCTATCATCTGCTGACGTAGACGAGAGCTCAGCGTGGGCACCTTGAAGCTGCACATCAGAGTGTCGTCAATGCTCATCATGGCACCTGCAGGATGCCGGAGCGTATATGATAGGAGCAAGGATAACAACAATAAGGTAAACAACACATAAATGGGGCAAGGATAGCAATGACAGGGAAGCCGGACTAGCAGCAGACGTAACGGTAGCATTCGGCAAGTTGTAATGTTGTACGGCGCAGGGGATCACACATAGGCCGACGGCAATGCGTGATGTGTGCCATGAGGTATGGAATTGGGATTAGTAATGCACATTTTCTGACTCCAGGCATTTCGAGTAGCAGCATAAACGAAAACAGGGGACACGATTTTGCAGGTATCAATGATCTTGAAGCATGCGGTGAGACCCCCACTTGCCAGGGCTAACAAGGCAGGTGAGAAGCTCGGCTGGATCCCCCGGCTCGCCCTCCCCCAGAGGTCTAGCATCCCCCTGATTAGGCGAGAGGTGTGGGGCGGGGTGCGAGCTCCACAACAAAGAAGCGGGAGCGAAGACAGCAGGGAAGGCAAGGAACAGCCTTCGACCAGAAAGCCAACATTCCTGAACAAAATGATAATACACAGAGACAGAGACAGGCCTAAAAATGCGTATTCAACCAACTGAGCTAAGAAAGCTAAACCATGGTCCCGATGTGCCCGAGCGTGTTTTTTTTCAGCTGGTCAAAAGCACAAAGTTCCGAACAGTAACCGACAACTAGGGCTCCCAACTTCGCGCTTCGCGCTACGCGAAGCGCGAATGACTTCGCGCTCTCGCGCCGCCCCCCCAGAGGGAGAAGAGGAGGACGAGGAGGAGGGGGAGAGGGAACGAGGAACTTCGCGCCCTCGTGGGGGCCCTTGCAAAAAAGCACGCCAGAGCCGAACCGACGATGCTGTTCGCCCCAAGGGTTATGTTAATTCCATCCTACTTAAGGACCACATCCCAGAAAGAATTTCGAGCACACAGAAAAATACCACAGGAGTGTCGAAACGGTGTCGAAACAACGTCGGGCGAGTGACTCCCAGGGCCCGACACGTGAAAACCCTTGAGTTTCGGCACTTCTGTTGGCGCTCGAAATTCTTTCTGGTGATCGAGGCTAAAAGCAGGCTGGAGCAAACATAATCCTGGATGCTGCGGGCACAGACGTCAGCGCAAGCCTTGTTGGCTGCGTCGAGGCTGGGAGTGGAGATGCGCAGAAGCGACGGCACGATCAGCATGCGCAGACACTGCCCAGAAGGCGGCATGAATGCGGCCGATGCCCAGAACCACGTTTCCGCCTCCAAATCGTCATCGTCATCCTTCTCCTCCAACCCGTTCCCCTCGCGCTATGTATCCCTGCCCACGCCCGCAAGCTCCTCCCGTTGGGCCTCAAAACTGTCCCACCCGGCCTCGACGCCTCCCTGCGTGGGGCCCAGGCCACGCACGGGGATGCTAGCAGGGCCGCATGCCGGGCCCTCGTGGGCCAGCGTCAAGTCGGGCGTGTCCCCTTGCAGGGGGATGTTCGACGAAACATAAAACATGATCCGAAAGAGTACACCCCAATGGGCCAAAAAGAAAGAAAAATTGTCCCCAGAGTATTTCATGTTGTTTTACTATCTTTGAATCTCCCCCCTGTAGAAAGACAGGCCCGACCTGACTCTTGGCCTCCCCCCTCCCCCGGGGCCCGCCTCCGGGCCCTCGGTGCCTCCCTCCTCTCTCTCTGAAGGGGAACTGGGACACACAAATTCGCCGGCCCAACGGGCCAGGGCGTGCTAAGATCTCCGGTAACTGGTTAACAGTATTAACAGTATTTCTAGTTCGCGCGCGCGGGGCGGCCCCTGGGGGTCCCCCGGCGAAAAGTACCCCGACCAACGCCCGGTCGCCGCCCGACCGCCGCCCGACCGCCGCCCGACCAAGTCTACTCAGAGATGGTTTTCCTTCTGGGTGCGGCCTCTCAGGCTCCCCAGAGCGCGCTCAGAGTGCCCCAAGAGGCCCCCAAGACTGCCCAAGAGGCCCCCGAGACGCCCAAAGAGCGCTCGAAGACGCCGAAGATGACCCCAAGACGGCCCAAAAGGCCCCCAAGACAGCCCAAGAGGCCTCCAAGACGCCCCAAGAGCCTTCCAAGAGGCCTCCGAAGAGAGCCCCAAGAGGCCAAAATCGTTGATTTTCATTTGTTTTTTCTATGTTTTTTGTGTTCTGGCTTTTTCGGCTTCCGGACGCTCCAAGACGGCCCAAGAGGCCCCCAAGACCGCTCCAAGACGGCCCACGAAGCTCCCAAGACGGCGCCGAAACGACCCAAGAGAGCCCTCAAGACGGCCCAAGTGCCGCCCAAGACGGACCAAGAGGCCCCAAGACGGGCCCAAGAGGGACTCAGGAGGGATACCGAGAACTCAAAAATGGAGCCCTCCGTCCCAGAAGGCGCCCAGGAGGTCCCAAAGAGGCCCCAAGAGGCCTCCAAGAGGCCCCAAGATGTCGCCAAGAGGCCCCAGGAGACTCCCAGGAGGCCCAAAAGAAGCCCCAGAAGGCTTCAAACATGTCTCCCAGGCGCCCCCGAACGGCCTCTCAACAGACCCCAAGAGGCCCCCCAAAGAAGCATCTTGACGACGACTCTATTTCGCCCCATCGAGAGACGACCCCCAGGGAACTGCTTCACCATCAAAACTCCCCACGCAACGCGTCCGAACGACACCCGCCCCCAAGAGCGCAACATGGGCAACGAACACACAGACAAAAACCAGCGATGCCATATCACGGGCCGGCGGAATGAGCGAAGCGATTCAATAAATACACACAAATAAACATATCCCCCATAGTTTCCCATATTTTCTGGGTTTTTGTTTCCCCCCCACTTCCCATATTTTCCCATATTTTCTGGGAATCGACGAATAACTGTGTCTGTGTGTTTTTTTTCCCTCCTGACTCTCCTTGGAGCCTGCTGGCCTCACTCCAGCTCTGCCTGGCTCCCTGGCCGGCCACCGCTCGGACCTCCGCTCGTGCGTGCACGTGCCGCCCTCGTGCGTGCGCGCTGCCCTCGATGCTCCAGGGATGCTCCTCGATGGCCCTCGCCGAAAAGAGTGGACACGCTCGCGCGGCGCCAAGCTGCCTGCCGCAGGCGAGGAGCAAGGGTCCAGTGGACCGGAGCCCCCATGGCTGCTCCATGAGGCGCGATGGCAGGCCGGCAGCGAAACGAAGGTCTACCCGACCGTCGACCAGCCGCGCTGTGTTATGTATGCCTGAACTTATCGTTGTGTTTAATGCTAAATCCCTGCATTTTTAATGCATGATCCGCACGCGGAGCATGTATTAAAAATGCAGGGAGGATGCAAAGGATCGCGGTAAGGATGCAAGGGCCTGGGGACGCCATGACGAGCCTCTGCGAGCTGGGCGCGGCAAGCGAAGGCGGCCAAGGATGCGCCGAAGGGGCTGGATTCAAAGGTAACCTCAGAAAGTTGCTCACCCTAACTATGCCGGTCGACAGCAGTAACAGGGGATATGTCGACCTCTATCCTGGGCTTTTTGGAAGGTTCTCGAATGGACCAGAAATGTTGGGCCCAACCCTGGGATATACGACGGGGGGGCATCCATCCGCGAAGCCCCCTTGGGTATATCCCATGGCTTCTCTAATTTTCAGAGCGGCTTGACACTTCGTCAAACATCGGGAGATGGAGGAGAACCATCGCCTGCGATGTAGGAAGAGGCGCAGCACAAGGGGGTAGGTGGAGGGAGGAAGGCTTCTTAGAAGAAGGCAGGCCCGCACTAAGAAGCAAAGGTGTTTCCGAGAAGCCTTCCACCCTCCCCCTGGCCCCTTCGGCTGACAAGGACGTGCCGAAGGAGAAGGATGCCAGGGTAACCTTGGAAAGTTACTCATCCTGAATGCGGTGGAGGCTTTAAACAAGGATGCCTTCGGTAAGAAACCCAGGCCCCGCGACCGATGGGCGGCCGAACGTGGGCCACCCCCCCCTCCTTGAAACAACAAGGAATGCGCCAGGGTCTGGGCCCCACGGAGACGTTCCTGATCTCATGCCGCCGCCGCAGACGGATCGACTGCAGGAGGGGGCGCCACACACACACACACAGACGCCCCTCCTGCAGCTGGCGAAGGCGCACGGGCGGGGCGCGCCGGCGCCCATTGCGCGGGCCCTTCCTTCTGGCGACAACCGCCCGAAGAAAGGCCGCGTCCCTGCGGGCCCAAGGCAGGCAAGGGCGAGCAAGCAGAACGAGGGGCAGCAGCCGTACGGTCGGGCCTAGACCAAAGGAGAATCTTTCAAGGAAATGAGACCCTCCGCCAGCTCCAATGGAAGAACATTCCAGGGCGCCCCCCCCCCCCGGATGCACAAAAACATCCAGCAAGCACAAAGAAAACATCAGGGGTCCTCCTCGGACCGACATCGATCTTAGACCTCGGTCCGACCGTAGCTAGCGACAGAAAGTGCAACAACATGTAGATTGCGATTGGCATTGACGCATATGTACGCTGGATGTCTGAAGGGGAATGTAATGAATCCGGCCTGCGTTGTCGAACTCACCGCAATAGTTAGGAGCGCTGAAGAGTGTGATCAACTGGCGCTTCGCAAAGAACTCATAGCCGTCCTCAACGACCTTTGAACGCCGACGGAAGGGCGCGAGGCGGAGGACTTTGAGGAAGCGTAGGAAATGGATAACGAACATAATGACGATCGTCCTTGATGGGACGCGCGTCCTTCAACGAGGGTGTCGCCAGAATTCCTGGCACCTCTGCAACGCGGTTGTTCTATCCATCAAGCAACATGCGTGGAGGCGGGAAAGGCAAAAGAAAAAGGAACCACAGGGACCACGGGGAAGAATGAGAGAGGGCGGGAAATGAAATCGGAAATAGAGCCGTGCGAGGACGACGACGAAGTATGATGTGGAGGAAACAAAACTACAACATATTGCGACGGTCGAGCAAGGAGACAGAGGACGAGGAGGAAGCGGAGTAGGAGTTTTTAAAATACGAAGTGCATGTGATGAAGCGGCTTTAAAAGGACTGACGACAATGGGAAGTGGGGAGGGAATTTCTGCCAACGGGCGAATAAGCGGAATAAGGATACACATGAGACAGCAGGAAGCATGGAAAAGGGAAGGAGGGACGAGGGGGAGAAAAATGATGGAGTAACGGCAGGTGGCCTGAAAGGGAGGATATCGAGGAGGAGGAGGAGAAGCAGGACAACGAGATCAACAGGGCGACGAGGGGAGAGCAGGCGCAGAAGAGAATGAAGATTCCCCTAAAGAGAGCCAGGGTACTGTTCAACCCTCTCCCACGCCGGTCCTCCTCCGGCCCTCCTCCTTTTGGGCGGGGCCAGGAGACCTGTAACCCGCACCCACCTTAAAGCGTACCCATGTTCCACCGTTCGGGAAGGTGTTCCGTATTATTTTGAATGCTATCCCACGGAGTATTCTGTGCGTACCGCTTCATGGACCTAACCACGCACGGTCGCCTGGCACGCGGTGGGGCTATGTCAATTCGGTCAACTCTGTGGCGTGGCACCCCACGGAAACACGCGGCACATATTATTTGCAGCATGCGTGCCAACGTGTAAACAATAGAACTGCGTGTGATTTTCACTTGGAAATATTACACGGGGCAAACACAAGTGCACGTCTGTTGACGTTTTCTGACACCCGCGCAACCCCAACGCGCAATGGGGCAAACACGCGCGCGAAAGGGCCAACTTGCTTAATGCACCAACGGCTGACACCAAACACATTGGGAAGCGAACCGATCGATTGGATTATTCTTCGACGTCTTGACAACGAAGCTGAACCGATCCGCATCAGCAATCGCCCCCACGACCGCACATGCAGGGGGCTCACGCATAGGCGCGCTTGCTGTTGGCATTGTTTCTGCGCCTCGGCGCGCCCACGTCGGGGGCGAGCAGGAGGGCAAGAGGGAGGAGGGGCATGAACAGGAAGGGGAAGGGACGTGGAAGGGGAGACGGGGTGCTTCCAAATGTAGAAATTTCAAACGCGCACATCCCAGGGGGGCGTCGAACCGACGAAGTTCCAAGATCGAGCTTCGAAGTGCGAATCTCGAAATTCGGAGTCCGAACTTCGAACTTCGACCTTCGAGCTTCTATCTCTGAGCGCACTTGTTTGGAAGCCCCCGCTGAAAGGAGCGGGATGGAGGGGGCCAGGGGGGCGGGGGAGGGGGGGGGGAGGGGGGGCGGCGGGCAGGGGGGGGAGAGGGGGGGGGGGGGGCGGGCCTAGCTTTTCGCCGTCGGGGAAGGAAAGAGGAACAGGGAGAGAGGGGGAGGAGGAGGAGGAGGAGGAGGAGGAGGTGGGAGGCTCGGAGGAGGCCGAACGGCATCCATGAAAGTTATTTCTCTTCCCTCAGCCCCAGGGGCGCGGCAGGCCGCAGTCGACGGCCAGGCGCCGACGCGCGCGCCAAGTCAGGCCAACGCCGCGGGCGCAGAGGCCTCTCACCTCCGAGCCGCGGCCCGTCCAAACGGCGTGCTTAGCCGTTCGCTTCGCGTGCCAGCGCCGCCTCTCGGAGCAGAGAGGGAAGCGGAGAAACCGCTAGAGTTGCTGCACAGAACAGCCTGTAGTTCGCCGTGGGGCCCAGCGCACGCGCAGCGCGAAAACAATGCACGAGGACAAGCTTTTCGCCGCTTACCTTGCCGCGGCGCTGACGCAGCGCGCATCGGCAGCAATCAAAAAGGCAATGCGTTCACGGGCGCGCGCGTTCAAAAGTCGCACAAGGACTCTCACTGTCGTCGGCTTATCGCCTGAGCACCCACCTCAGCGACCAGCCCCCGACGACGGGCCAGCGCCCGACGACTTTGCGGCGAGGCGCTTGCGCAGGGCGTCGGACACCCCCGCCCCCGACGGCGGCGAAGGGGGGGACCGCTCGCTGCCCCTGCCCTTGCCCTGGCCGCCGTCCGCGGTCTGCTTCGGGGCGGCCGGCCCCTTCCTCTTCGCGAAGGCGGCGCCCGCCCAGTCCGGCGAGCGGGGTGGGGCCGCGACGCCCTTCGCGACAAACTCCTGCAGGAGGTCTTGGACCTCGTGCGAGCGCCCGTGTTTCTTGATCGTCGCGCTAGCGTTGTAGTCGAAGCGGCCCTCAAACTCAAGCTCCCCGGCGTCGAACTTGAGGGCCGCCTTCGGGTCCTGGTGGTCGAGGCGGCTCGTGACCGACCTCTCGTCCGCGCTCTCGCCCTTCGCCCCGTAGTAGAAACCGTTCTCGAGGTCGTCGTCGGCGTGCCGGGTGCTCAGGGGGCGCCCGTTCGCGGCGTAGCGCTGGCTTAGCGCCGTGCCGAAAGCCAAGTCTCCAGGCCCTCGTAGGTGAGCGTCGGGAACGGGCTGTCTGGGCCGACCTTGAGCCCCGGGTAGAGCAGGCCCAGCTTGAAAGCCTCGTGCCAGCAGCCGTCTCCTGGCGTTTCTGGCAAGCGGTCGGGCTCCAACTTGTGGAGCAAGAAGTCGACGAGACCGTTCTGCCTTGTCTGGCGGCCAATAAGGCCGTGAAACAAGACGACGACAGAGACGAGGCGCGACGACGACGACGACGACGACGGCGGCGGCGGCGGCAACGGCGACGGCGACGGCGACGGACGTCGGCGAACCTCACGTTTATGCACTTCGAACTTCGAAGTTCGAAGTTGGAACTTCGAACTTCGAACTTCCAAATTCGGTCTGCAAGTTGGGCCCCCTGACTCTTGGGGGGGGCGGAGGAGGAAGCGGGCCGAGAGCCGGCAGGGGGGGAAGGGGGGGAAGGATGGAGCGGGCGCAATTCAGGGCATGGAGTTTCCTCCGGCTTCCGCCTGTCCAGGTGCTCGAACTTCTTCAAGCCCGCGCGAAGCCTCTTGCCCTGGTGCTGCTCCGCCTCGGGCTTCTCGCCGCTCGCGGCAGTCTTGGAGTCGGCAGACGCCCTGGGCACCGCCTTCCACTCCTCGTTGTGGAGGAGTGCGTTCAAGTGGTGCACCAGGCCAGGGTCGGCACGCAGGATCTTCACCGCGTCCTCGACCGTTTGCTCGACGGCCGCCTCGCCCGCCCCGCTGAGGCTCGCGAGGACGGCCGCCCCCTCCTTGTCTGCGGCCTTCTCGGCGCGGCTGTGGGAGGCCATGGCTGCGCTGATGGGCCCCGGGGCGGAGCTCGGGGGGCCGCGGCAGGCTTGTCGACGAAAGGCTTCTCAGACACACTGCGCTCGAGCGTAACGGTTGCTGAAGACGAGACGCACGGGGGGCGGGCGACAGGGGGGGCGGGCGGGCGGAGAGGGGGCGACGGGGGATGACGCAGACGGAAGGAGGAGCGGGGGTGGCAGACGGCGGATCGAGAGGGGGGGAAGAGGAAGAGGACCGGAGCGATCGAGGGCGGCGAGAAGCCTGGAGGCTGGGGAAGGGCAGAGGGGCCTCCAAAGGTACATGTTCGAAACTCGCAATCCCCAGGAGGGCCTCCAACCGACGAAGTTCCAAGGTCGAACTTCGAAGTTCGAACTTCGAAGTTCGGAGACCGAAATTCGAACTTCCAACTCTGAGCGTCGTGCTTTTGGCGGCCCCTCCCGCCAAAAGTAACGGGCTGGAAAAAGACAGGGGGACGTAGGAAAGGGGAGGGGTTCAGCGAGCGCACTCCTCGGCACTGCTGCCTCGCGCTGGCACGGTTCAATACCCAAGCTACAGACATTGGGGCGAAGCACAGGCTGACGCCGAAAATGAAGGCAGCACAAGCTGACGCCTCGAGCACGCGAAACTGAATGGGCCGCAGCACAGGCTTGTCGCCGAACAGAATGCGGACGAGCAGCGCCACGCAGGCTGACGTCAAAAACGCGCTGCAGCGCTGCCCGCCCCCGATGCACGCGCTGCTTCGTCGCTCGCGCAGGCGCCGCCCCGCGGGGGCGTTTGGCCAGTTCTTCCAAGTCAAATGGAGCGGCCTCCCTGGTGAAATCGCAATGGAACGCCCACGTCCACCAAATCGCCTCGCAGGCTGCGCGCTCGTAGCCCCGCTCCGTCCACGGCGCAGACTTCCATCGGTTCGTCGGCGGGTGCAGCGCGCGCCAACGGCCATTGTAGTCGCCCGCGTCAATGGGCCCACCCCGAGGGGCCCACTTCATCTTCCACTTCGTGATCTGCTCGGTGTTCTTGGCGTCCTTGTCGGGCAGCCAACGCGGGCTTTGTTTTCTGCGTCTGGGCGCGCGCCGCTGCTGGGGCCCCCTCTCCGCGCGCGCCGCCGCCACCTGCACGGCGCACTTCTCCACGGCTTGAGCTTCCCCTGGCACGAGCACCTCTCCGAGCATGCCAGGCGGGGCGCGCGGGTCAGCGCGCGCGTCGGGCAGCTCTTGCAAGAACCCTCGGCACACGCATTCAGACGCCTCCTTGTCGGTCAGTCTGGCTTGATCGCCGAAGTGGCAGCCAGGACCAAGTCAGTCTCGCGGTGGTCGGCCGCGGCGGCGTCTGCCGGCAACGCCTTCCCCTTGCTGGTCAGGAGAGCCTCCAAGGGCTCCTCTCCAACGCCCGGGAAACCCGACTCGGCTTGCGCGTTGAGCAACGGCTGCTGAGCAGCTGCGACTCCCCGCGCGCCGATCTGCGCGCCCCTGTAGCCCTCAAGGGACGATGGGCGACGCCCGCGAACTCCAAACCCTCTCGGGGGAACTTGCGTTTGAGAGTCTGCCTTGTGCCCCCTCGCCACTTCGGGGGGGGGGGAACTCCCCCTGCCCCGCCCCTCGCTTCCGATAAATGGTAAACTGTGGCTAAGGAAGGCCCCAGGACAAAGACGCCCGAGGGGGGGCCCCACCGCGGGCCCAAGAGCGCGCGAAGGCGACCAATGTGCACTTGGGGGATCCAGGAGGCCACTCTGGGGGGCTTCACAGGGAGCGGTGGACGTGTGCAACGCGTAAGGATACCCATGGACACCCCTCTTCTGGACACCCGCGCAGATGGCCCCACAGGGGCCCGCGGCCGCCGAGAGCAGTCCTCGAGGGCCCCAACAGACCTGAGCAAACTTCCACACCTGCCCCCGCCAAGCTCCAAGACGGCCCAGGGAGGCCCCCTGGAGGCCTCCAGCAAGGTGGCACTCCGCAACGCCCTGGTGTCCTCACTGACACCGTCACCGTCATCGTCGTCGTCGCCTTCCTCCCTTCCTTCGCATCCCCTCCCGCCCCGGCCCCCCTCCTCCCCTTCCCCCTCCCCGCGCCTTCCTCCTCCTCTTCCTCGCCTTGAGCCCCTTTTTACCCCCGCCCCCGCCCTCCCCACTCCCCCCCCCCCCGCCCCCCGTCCCCCCCCCCCCCCCCGCGGGTTTATCTCAAGCCCCGCGCCGGTTTCTCTTGTGCACGCGCGGGGTTGCCTTAGGCCGTCGCTGGTCTACCTGGGGCCCCTGTCGGAGCATCGCACCCCCCCCCCCCGCAGGTTTCTCTGAGGCCCCCCACAGTGAGGAAAATGAAGGAAGTGAGTCAAGTACAAGAAAATAAGGCAAGTGAGGGAAATAGGATGATTGAGGCAAGTGGGGAAAGGGAGCAAGGTGAGGAAAGTGAGGGACGCGGGAGAAGCGCGGAGATCGAGGGAAGAAGGGGCATTGAGATAAGCGAGGGAAGCATCGAGAGCGACGCAGGCGAGGAGAGCAAGGGAAGCGAGGGAAGTCAGGAAGAAAGAAAGGAATATGAGGAGAGTGGGGGAAGTAAGGCAAGCGAGGAAAGCGAAGAAAGCAAGGAAGTAGGGCGCGGGAGGAAAATGGGGCAAGGAAAAGAAATGAAGGAATTGAGCAAGTGAGGAATGCGAGGAAATTGAGGAAGGTACGGGAAGCGCAGGAAGCTTGCGCATGTGAGGAAAGTGAGGAACGCCAGAAATGCAAGGAAATTCAGGAACGCGACGGCAGCAAGCAACGAGATGGACGCGATGGGGCCCCACGCACGCGCCCGCCCCCTGTCCTCCAAGAACATCCGCGCAGGGGATCTCCATTGCGCGGGAAACACCTCCACGTCGTCAGCGTCGAAGACGGCGCGCCAATTGGGCGACTCACACTCTCGATCTGGATTTTCGCCGCGCGCCCTCGCATTCCTGCTCGGCCGGCCAGCGCAACGCGGAGCACCCGTGCGATTTTAAGACGAACAGCGCCTCGCTTCTGGACTCGGCACGGACGAGCCCGCCTGGCGGCAGGAACCGGGCCACCCAGCAGTCGTTCGCCCCGTGCCGCAGGTCGCCCTCGTGAAGCACGCGCAGGAACTGCAACTCCACGCGTAAGTTCCGCTCGCTCGCAGGAGTGAATGATTTGAACATGCTCTCGTCTCTGATTTTGCCCGTCTTCTCCAAGAGGGCGACCCGCGCCTGGGCACGGGCCTTCGCCCGAGGTTTTGCCCCAACTGGCGCCGGGCGGCTTGTCGCCTTAGCATCGTGGATCAATGGCTTCATCTCCGCGTCGTCTTTGAGGTTCAACTTCGCGAAGGGCCCCACCTCCGCGCGCTCGAATTCCCCGATCACGTCGTTCCTGGCCAGGGCGCCCCGCTGCGCCATGCTCGACACCGTCTGCGGGGGACGCGAGTACTTCTCATGCGTGACACCAGCGTGCCCCTGAACGCCGATGGAAGCCACGCGAAGGGGAACAATCGGGGGACCACCTGCAAAGAAACGGCGGCCAGAACCACGACGACGTCGCACATCGGGAAGGCGCATCGACGCGGAGGGAGGCGCGGGAGAGGCCCGGCACGGAAGCGGGCGAAGGGGGGGCGGAGAAAGGGCTAACAGGAGCCCCAGGGGAGCTCCCTTGGACCCTCTCTTGCCGCGTTGCTGTTGTGTTTTTTTGGTCGCGCGGCATCTTGCTGGCTCTCTTGCGCGCGCGGGTCTGGCGCCGGCCAGTGCAAGTGGACTTCAATAGTTCCTCCAACGTGCTTGGGGGGGCACCGAACTGGCTTTTCGCCGCGAGCCCAATGCGCCAGAGGTAAAAGGGCTGGCGGGGCCAACGGCGGGCCATAGCGGCAACGACCTCGGGGTTCTCGCGGCGCCCCTGGGCCGCCGACGACGACGACGACGTCGAAGACGACGACGAAGAAGAAGACGAAGACGAAGGCGAAGACGAAGACGACGACGACGACGGCGACGACGACGGCGACGAAGATGACCACGAAGACGACGACGACGAGGACGAAGACGACGACGACGAAAAAGACGACGACGACGAACTCGAGCGAAGGCGGCGAGAAGCCAGGAGGAGGGGGCAAGGCAAAGGAAGGCCCATAGCTCGAAGGTTCAACATTTTACAATGAAGCTGCGAATTTCACGTTTCGAAGTTCGAACTTCGAATCTCTCGCTTGGAACATCAATTCTTCGACGTGGAACTTCGAACGCACAAATGCCCCCCCCCCCCCCGCCCGGGAGGGGGGGGGGGGGCAGGAATGAGGGAGGGGGGGAGGGAGGGAAAAGGCGGCGAGGGGGGAGGGGAAGGAGGGGGAAGGGATTCAGGAAGGTTGGATGGAGGGAGGGGGGAAGGCGTTCTGCGCTGCCGAAAAGGCGCGGACGTCCTTCTGAAATTCGCGCATGCACGAATCGAACTCGCCCTGCTCCGTCAAAAGTAGACCCGCGAGTTTCCCCGGGTAGTAGGAAGACAACATCGCCAAGGACCCTGACCGCAGGGCGACAATGTTCTCCACGAGGGCCCCGAGTCTGTTGGCAAGTGCGTCCTGGTACTTCAAGGCCCCCATCCGCTGGCTTCGCGCCGTGGTGCATGGCAGCGGTCACGTTGACGATGAAGCCGCAACGCTTGAGGCCCGCGGAGTTGCCCATGCACTTGGGCGTCTTCTCCAGGAAGCCTGACCACTCCTGGCGGGCCCACCCCGGGCGCACTTTCAGAGCGCCCTCGGCGCCGGTTAAGTCTTTCGTCAGCTTCCCAAAGGCGATGCGTTGAGCCTCGGCGGCGTGGAGGACCAACCGCAGACCAGCGACGACGTCGCCGTCGCACAGAAGACGGGTCGCGGTGGCCACGGCGTTCTGAGTCTTAGCCTGGGGAGGTCACCAACGGGGTGAGAGCAGGTCCACCGACTTATCCTGACAGACCACCCGCGGCGACCCAACAGCAACAAGGATAAGTCAATGTGTCGTTCTGGGAGCCAAAACGACACGTCGACTTATCCGCGCGGCCAATCACTCTCCGCGCACAACAAACCAGAGGCCAGCGGAGAGGGGCGAAGCCCAACGGATATAACAATTAAGCGTTGCACGCGATCCTCCATCTTCTGCGAACGGCAAGTTTAACCGCACAGTGCGAAAGCCTATCACGATGACAATTCCAACTACAAGAATCGTCGAACAAGAATTCAGGAAGTATTCTTTTTAGATTTAACCCATTCACTCATTCAGTTTGTTTGAGCATGCCCACAGGGGGCGACGACGAGGACGACCGACCCATAACTGTAGGAGTCCCACAGGGCCCACACCTAGGACTACATTAAGTAAGAGACTCGTGGTGATGATGATGACGATGATGACGAAGTATATCGCGTGACATGGTGATGATGATGGTGATGACGATGATGATGATGATGACGCGCACGCACGCGCATGCACTATTCCCCAGGTTTCCTCGATTCCATCTCCACTCGCTGTCGCTACTGATGTCGTTACTGCCGCCCTTCCGCCCATGCAACCGCCGCGACAGACGACGGCGCACGCCGAGACGGCGCGGCGCACTGACAGACGTTGCGCTCTCGCGCCGCATCCCTGGAGGAGGAAGCTTCCACAGTCCAGGCTACGAAGCGCGATTATCTTCGCGCCCCTCCGCGAGGCCTCCGCTGAGAAGCGCGATTATCCTCGCGCCCCTTGCGAGACCCTCCACATTTGCAAGCGACACGGATGAGCGCGACGTGGATGAGCACATGGCGTGGCCACGGAGAGGGAGTGGGGAGTGCGATTATCCGATTCCGTGCGATATGCGCCAACGCTGCGGCTGGCCCATCCAAGATCACCCAGTAGCGCGCGGGGCAGGGCAGAAGCACTCTGCTGCCCGAGTGCGCCGCCCGAGCCCCGCTCCCCGCGAGCCGCCTAGCATTCCCGTGCGACGCGGCCAGCCGAGCAAAAGTGAAGAGAATAAGCATTAGCCGAGATCAAGGATCACATCCTCCTATCCTCATGCTCGCATCCCATAACCTCATATCCTACCTCTGCCCCCCTCTCCCCAAATCCTCATCCTCCTACCGCCGCCCGAATCCCGCCTCACCCCGCTGGTAATTCGAACCAGATCCTGCCGCAGCGACGATTACAGCACCCATGGTAAACAAGCTTTGATCGAATGGGCTTTGTACTTGGGGATAATATAGGGGGAAGACTACACCGTGAGAAGCAGCAGGCGCCGCCGAATCCCTAGGCAGCCTTCTTACCCGAGCCCATGCGCATATGCTTGGCCTTCGGGGAAGACGGGGACTGGGCTTGCTCGAATTCCTCAGGGCCGCCGCCGTTACCCACGGGCGAAGACTCAGCCTGGCGCGTACTCGAACCGCCGACGGCCCTGACCTCATGAGGCAGCGCTGCCCTGGCCAACTGCACTACGCCCTCATCCTGATGTGGAGCCACGGTGCGATCCAGGATGATCGTCGGGATGTTCACCGAGAGCTCCATGAGGTCGGGCCGACGGGGCGAGGAGAGGGGCGACGAAGAGGATCAGCAGGAGAAGGAAAAGGGGGCGACGACGACGGCGACGACGACGACGACGACGACAACGACGACGGCGACGAGAACGCCGTTGGGCGCCTGCAGCGGTTGCCAATGTTCTCGACCGCCATTTGCTGCAGCTGCGACCCCGCGTTGACAGTGCCCATGGTGACGTTCTGCGCCTTCGCGTCGTCCTGGCAGCTCACCCTTGCTACTGTAGCTACACCCTCCCCTCCTCCACATCCTCCTCCTGCCCCAGCCTGGGCCGGCCCTCATCCAGACGACGACGGCGACGACGACGACGACGACGACGACGACGACGACGACGACGACGACGACGACGACGTCGACGTCGACGTCGGCGTCGGCGTCGACGTGGACGACGACGACGACGACGACGGCGGCGGCGGCGACGACGACGACGACGACGACGACGACGACGACGCGACAACGACGACGACGACGACGACGACGACGCGACTACGACACGACTACGACGACAACGACTTTCTCAGCGTTCCCACATGCAGTCCTTAGCCCCCAAGACTCGGACGTGCCAGGCGGGCGCCACGTACTCGGAACCACCGTCGGGGCATTTCACTAGCAAGTCAAACGCCAATGGGTGTTGATCAGACGCATCAACTTTGAAAACAACCCTGCCCAACGAGAATGCCCCTCTCGGCGGGGCCTTGTCCTGCTGCCCATCAGTCGGCTGCTCCTTCTGATCCAGCACGAGCGCGGGCCTCACGACCCCGATGAAGTGCATGACCAAGCCCGTGCCGCCCTCCTTGGCAAGATCGCGGACGTTGGCGTAGATCTTCTTGTGTGGGCTCTTATTGTCGGTGGAGGTACGCTTCGTGTAGACCGCGCCGACGTCCCGCAAGGGAGCGTCGCTGGACGCGGATTCGCCCACGGGGCGGGCATGGTGGAGCTTCTGGCACCCCCACGTGAGAAATGACACCAGCTCACTCATGAACGCGCCGCTCGTATTCCCAGAGATGTCCCGAGCCACGAACTCCAGGTTGAAACTGGCCGAGGCTGAGTCAATAGCCTGGGCCGCAGCTTGGCCAACAAGCGTAGTCTCCAGAATGTCACTGAAGATGTCATCGTACTTGTTTTTGGGACTTGTCGATGCCGCTGCCTCTTTCAGCTTCATGTCCACGTAGTTGGCCACGAGCTCTGATCTGTTGGAGGAGCCTTCGCCCTTGGCGTTCCGAGCGCTCATGCCGAGCGCGACCCGAAGTTCAGGAACTTTCATCGTTGCAGCGGCCTGCTGAAACATCATCTTCTGCTTGAACTCCTGAGCTGCATGATCGACTTCACGATCATCATCTCCCGTCTTGTCCTGCGGAGCCGGCTTTGAGAGGGACCCCTCCAACCTCAAGATCATGCTCGTCCACAAGCGAACCCAGTCCGAGTCCTTCTCATCGCCATCCTCGAAAGGAACTCTGACGTCGACATCGGCAGCCTGCACGAGGATGGTCTGGCACGCCTGGGAGGTGCTCGAAAACAATGCGCCGCACCGCGCGCGCCGCAGCGACGGCCACCCCCGCGGTAGGAGGAGGAGGATGAGGAGGAGGTGGAGGAGGTGGAGGAGGGCGAAGGTGAAGAAGCGGATGGTGATGAGGAACAGGAGGACGAGGGAAAGCGGAACACGGGGGTGACGAAGCGGCGGGAAGCGCGCGGACGGGCATCATTTTCGATACCTGATCTCCTCGCCATCCACTTCTTCAACGACCACCTTGACCACCTTCAATGCCTCGCAAGCGGGGTCCTTCTCCATCAGAATGTCACGGACTTCCTTGAGAAGGATGAACATGTACTTCGTGCGGAGCTGCAAGAACGATCGCGCTTCGGCGGGCCCCTTCAATATCTGGAAGAACCCCCTGGCGACTTTGGGGACGTCGTCTGCAGACGGCCATTCGTCTGCGAGGTCCTTGAGCGCCAACGCTACGAAGTTGAAGCATGCCATGTTGAACGCGCCAGCGATGACCGCCCCGAGCTTGGCGACGATGTGCTTGACATCTTCGCTCCTCGAAGCTTGCGTGGAATCAAAGGGCCACCCGTCCGCTTCGCTGAGCTTCCACAAGGTTGAAACCATCTTGGTGGCGGCGTCGTGCGTGCGGGAAATTGCAGCAAGCCTGCCTGATAGCGGGTCGTTCTTGGCGATGAAACAGCGCAGCTGGTCCGCCGCGTCCTCCTCGTCCCTGATGATGTCCAGGAGGTCTGGATTCCAGCCGCCAGTGTCCTCCTCATCCTCCTCCTCCTCCTCCTCCTCGCCACCTTCACCGTCACCCTGTTCGGCGCGTTCCCCGCGGCGCGCTTCGAGCTGCCTCCGGAACAGTTTCAACGCGTGGCTGAGGGCGGCGTCGAACTTTTTGCAGACCTTCACCTTCTTGGCATTTTTGTCGGTGCCCCCGCCCTTGCCCTCGTCGTCGCGCTCGCCCTGGAGCCTGTCCAAGAGGCCGCTGACGTCTGCGTTCTTCTTCGGCACTACGGGAAGCGAGATCGCCCCCTCGCAAGTGAACTCAATCATGCGAAGGTAAGGGTTTGTGAGCACATTGTTGATCCCATAGTCCGAGGAGCAGTCGAGTGTGAATCCAACCTCCGTCGCCACCTCCTGCAACTTCTGCCCAATAACCTGTAGGGGGCACGCCTGCACCTGGCTGTCGAACCGAGTCAAGTCCTGGACAACCTTGACCGCGCCCTTGCGGTCCTCTGGAGCGGAGAGAGGAGAGGAAGAGGATGAGATGGAGGAGGGGGGGGGCGAGGGGGGGGCGAGGGGGGGGGGAGGCCACTCGGCAAGAGGACGATCCCCGTCGTCGTCGTCGTCGTCGTCGTCGTCGTCGTCGTCGTCGTCGTCGTCGTCGTCGTCGTCGTCGTCGTCGTCGTCGTCGTCGTCGTATTCGTCGTCGTCGTATTCGTCGTCGTCGTCGTCGTCGTCGTCGTCGTCGTCGTCGTCGTCGCGTTCGTCTTAGACGGGTCCTTGAACAAGTGGGGAATGCCATCCCTTGTAGGGACCACGTACTTCTGCAATTGCATGAACGCGAACTCGCGATGAGGTAGTTGGCCAATGTGGAAACCGTCAAGTACATTTCGGACCAGGAAGGCATTGATATAGAAGATGTCGGAGCTGGCTGCAACTGGAATCTTCAGATACTGTGCGTTTCCCTCGTGGTACTCCTCGAACTTGTTCCACAGCTTCAGCTCCTGGAGTTTGTCGACGACCGCCGCGGCGTTCGAGAACGAAGAGTATTCCTGGAACATCTTGCGGGGGTGAGTGGTGATGAACGCGCGCTTCTTCTTCTCGTAGCCCGACTGAGACCCCTGAGCGTCCCTGGCAGGCGTGCCCTCCATGTGCTTGGCCAGTTGGATTTTCAGCTGCGAAGTCGCCTGGGCTGGCGACGGCGACGACGACGATGACCCCCCCCCCAAAGTCAGCTCGATCCACACACACACACACAGCCCACACCGACGGAACCCCAGACAGCCCACACTGCCACACCGACGGAACCCCAAACAGCCCACACCGACGGAACCCCAAACAGCCCGCACAGACGGAACCCCAAACAGCCCACACCGACGGAACCCCAACAGTTTTTAAAGACAGGATTGGCCGCTTGATGAGCCTCGGGGGTGACTGGGAATGGGGCAGACGGAGGATGCCGTCGTCGTAGAGAAAAGGGGTCGGGGGTTACCCTCGTAGGTAGTTGCATATTTGGCGGTTTTGCCTGGTGCTTCGTACGGCCGTTGCGCGCTGTTGCGCTTTGCTTGTTGCTTCCTGCGACCCTTGTCTCCTTGCAGCTGTTTTGCTCATTGCTTCGTGCGGCCGATGTTCCTTTTGTGGCTTGCGCGTTGCTTCGTGCGGTCGATGTTTCTGTTGTGCTGCTGCCTCTTGCTTTGTGCGACCGCTGCTCATTGTTGCAGCTTTGTGCGGCCGCTGCATGTTGTTGTTGCTGCTTGTTGTTGTTGCAGCTGGTGTCGAGGGGTCTGACATGAATATCCCTGGGGGGAGGGGGGGGGGGGGCAAGCCCGGAGAAAGCAGACATGTCGGGGCCTTCTGGAAACCGCCCCTGGGCCCCGAGGTCCTCAAGCTTTTCTAAGGCACCAGGGGGGGGGCGGGTGAGGCCACTTTCTGCTCGCGTCCTTCATGCGCTCGATGTGGCTCGTGACAGACGCGACCTGGTTCATGGAGTTCCCCTGGTCGACTAAATAAAGTGCAACATACCTCGGTGTCTTGTGGTTGAAAATTGTAACATTCATCACGCCTGCGTTGATGGTGGCCTCGACCTGCGGATTATCAGGGGCCTCGCGGAAAGCCTTGTAGGCAGCCCTGATCAGGTGCATGCCCGACACGACCAATAGTTTTTTCCCGTGCTCGTCCGCGGCGATGGCCCAAGTGTCGGAGCGAAGCCCTCGCCTCACCCCACCATTCTTAATCTCCTCGCAGTACTCGTCGACTGTGTCTTGCTGGTGACGATCATTATCGACGTGCTGATCGAACGTCGGCGCGCCGTCTGGCTGAAAGTATGGCTTCGACACCACTCCCTCAAGGGATGGCCAAAGACGACGACGACGACGATGACGACGACGGCGACGACGACGACGAGGACGAGGACGAGGACGACGACGACGACGGCGACGACGACGACGGCAGCGGCGGTGGTGGCGGCGGCGGCGGCGGCGACGACGACGACGACGACGACGACGACGACGACGACGACGACGACGACGACGACGACAGCGAACGACGACGACGACGACGACGGACGGACGGACGGACGAACGACGACGACGACAACGACGACGGCGACGACGACGACGACGACGACGACGACGACGACGACGACAGCGAAAGACGACGACGACAGCGGACGGCGGACGACGACGACGACGACGGCAGCGGCGGCGGCGGCGGCGGCGGCGACGACGACGACGACGACGACGACGACGACATGATGACGACGGCGACGGCGACGACGACGACGACGGCAGCGGCGGCGGCGGCGGCGGCGACGACGACGCACTCTTTGGGATAAAGCAAACCTGTTCGTTGACAGCGAACGTTCTCCAGAGCTGGTCCTGGAGGAGGCGCCCCGACAAACCAGGGAACGGCACCTCCACTGAGGGGTGCTCGTCGTACGGGTTGACGACCCGCCCGCTCCCTGCGGCGCCCTCTGACATCCCCAGGGGCTGCGCGGCGGCCCCCCAGCCGACGAATCTCCTACGCCACGCGTCCTCACTGGATAGCCTTGAAGCCCACAACAGCAACGCGCATGGAAACGAATGGCGCACCCCGAACCGCACATTGAAAGCTCGACTCGCTTTCCCCCGTCGCCCGTCACCCTTGCAACGAAGTGCACTTGAACGGCGAATGTCCGCATGGGCGGTGGTTAGACTCAATATACAAGTTGTTACAACAGAGTGCTAAGCAGAGGCGGGGAATCGGACGACAGGGGAACCTAGCGAATCGAACGTCGTCGTCGTCGTCGTCGTCGTCGTCGTCGTCGTCGTCGTCGTCGTCGTCGTCGTCGTCGTCGTCGTCGTCGTCGTCGTCGTATATGAGCGTGAACTTATCTGTTGGGGCGCTCTTGGGCTCGACTTATGTTTGTTCTGCGCGCAGGCTCCCTGTACTTAGCGCACGCGCGCGCGCGCGCGCCGATCTGGGAAAGTTATGTGTTGGGACGCGTCCCAACAGATAACTTTCCCAGATCGGGCGCATATGCGCGCGAAGTAGTTATCCCAAAAGTTACTGCTGTTGGGGCGCGCCCCAAGATGCGTAACTACATGGCCCCGAAACCCGTCGCACAAGTTATGATCGTTGGAGCGCAACCCAACGCGCGTAAGTTCGAGGTCATGGGCCCGCGCCCAAAAGTTATTGTTGTTGGGGCGCGCCCCAACATGCATAAGTCAACTCCTCCTAAACTTGCAGAAACAGTTATGCTCGTTGGGGCGCAACCCAACGCGCGTAAGTTTGAAGCCCTGGCCCGCGCCCAAAAGTTATTGTTGTTGGGGCGCGCCCCAACGTGCATAAGTTAAATGCCCCGAAACTGGCAGAAACAGTTATGCTCGTTGGGGCGCAACCCAACGCGCGTAAGTTTGAAGCCCTGGCCCGCGCCCAAAAGTTATTGTTGTTGGGGCGCGCCCCAACGTGCATAAGTTAAATGCCCCGAAACTGGCAGAAACAGTTATGCTCGTTGGGTCGCAACCCAACGAGCGTAAGTTTGAGGCCCTGCCCCCCGCCCAAAAGTTATTGTTGTTGGGGCGCGCCCCAACGTGCATAAGTTAAATGCCCCGAAACTTGCATAAACAGTTACGCTCGTTGGGGCGCAACCCAACGAGCGTAAGTTTGAGGCCCCAGACCCGCGCCCAAAAGTTGTCGTTGTCTGGGCGCGACCCAACATGCATAAGTCCCCCCAAAACAACTCAAGACACATTTGAGCTCGTTATGCTCGCAAGCTTCCTCAGGTCCACGGGTCTCAATGTTCAGACAGCTCAGCGCGGCGTCGCGCGTATCACGCGGACAAATCAATCACTCGGGCACAGCATGCACACAGCAATTCTGTCGACACCAACATGGCGACCTCCCGAGACACGCACTTCCGCTCGACTGCGATATCGCCATCGTGAGAATACTTCGCAGCTACGCGAGCAGCGCATTCCGCGTGCATAGTAGACATGCATAGAGGGCAAGTCGCAACTCCAACTCCATCGCCCGAGTCCGCGCAAGCCAAGCAAGGTCGAGCGAGGCCCCCTGCACCGATTGACCCCGCAGGGCCATCATAGTCAGCCCTACTGCTGTTCTGGAAAAAACGAAGAAGCTCGCGCACTCCAGGCGGCACCTTCGTGCACTTAGTGCCTGTTGCCCTGACCATTTTAAGATTAAGCGAACAGAGCACCCTAACTACATTCAGCACGTTGCTGTCCCCCTTTTTTGGTGGCTGTACATACTCGATCCTGTGCTCACTATTTGGGCGCAAGATGCGGCCGCGCAGCGGGGGGCCAACATCGTCGACGTGCACGAGCCTCGCAGACGCGACCTCGATTCCAGCACACTTCTCCACCAGCTCCACAATGCTAATGCGATGTTTCTCGGGCCCGAGCGCAAACGCAGGCTCAGAAGTTATATGCGATACGTGGGCACAGAACGCAAGTGCTACATTGAGTATATCCCTAGCAATGTCGATATCGGGAGGCGCCTCTGGCGGCGGCGGCGGTGGGCCCCCGGCCTCCACGGCCGGCCCGAGCATCGCGTCGGGCCCGAGCTCGCTGGCGGCCTTGACGATCTCCATGGTTTCCTCGGGTCAGCGGGGCAGAGGAGGAGCGGGGGGAGGGGGGGGAAGGAGGTGAGGGGTCTCTCCTCAGACGCGTCGCCGCTGCCACATGCGCCAATCACTGCGGTCTCCATCTCAACCATCTCCTTCGCGCGATCCTCAGACGGGCAGTGGACGTCGGCGTCGCCGTCGTCGCTGCCCCCGCCCTGCTTCGGCGCCTTCGCCTTCACCAGCGAACGCACTGCCCGCATGTCCTCCGCATCTGCCGCTGCTGCGGCAGCCTTCCCAGCCTCGCCCAGCAGCGCCAAATGCAGGGCCAGCTCATGATCTGCCGATGCCGCCTCGTCCGCGGCCGCCCACTCCTGGGAGGGTCGGCTGTTCTTTGGGCGCGTTTGCTTTAGCGGGCGAGGCGGGGGAGGAGGAGGAGGAGGAGGAGGAGGAGGCTCTAGGTAGGGATCAGCACTCGGGCGAGTGCTGATCCCGACCCAAACGCGTCTTTTAAGTTTGTAAGTTTGGGTTCAGTTTTGGGGGAGGGGCCCTGTCGTTGGCCCTCGCGTCTAAGCTGCTTGATCTAAGCTGCTTGATCTTACGTGGGGTGGATTCACGGTCGGGCTCTTGCTTCGGCGTTTCTTTTACGCGACAATCGTGCGTTTCCTATGGGAAAATGCAAATTTCTGGGGACACGGCCACCGTCTGGATGTTCAATCGGACTTTGACTTTGACGCCGAAATCGTTGGTTTGCTTTGTCTTTTGTGGGACGAAAGCACCAGGGACTTTCCAAGCAATACGCGGTGTTTCTTCTACTGGTGGATATCTGCAGATATATTATTTCAGTAACTGGGAGTCTGTCAGTGGTCTCTTGGGTCTCTTCAGGTGATCTGGGTCCTCCTGCTGACCTCGTCTATGCTACTCTTCCTCGTCTTCCCTCTGCCTCTAGCTCCGCTTCGCGTTAGCTTAGCATGTCATGCTGGACGGCCCCCGTCATTTAGAGCATGCCACCACCACCACCGCCATCATCGCCCTCCTCATCATCATCCTCGCCCTCCTCATCATCATCACCACCCTCCTCCAAATCCTCATCCTCATCATCCTCATCCTCGGTTTCACGGTTTCACGTGCTGGCTACGAGTCCGCTCAAAGAGCAGAAAGAGCCACCCCACTTTCTCGCCCCTCGCTCCTGCAGCACGTCGCCTGCGGTTTCGCCCATGCCAGCCACGTCGTCGTCGCCCTCGCCCTCGCCGTCGCCACCGGCCTGGCCGTCGACGCCCTCGGGCTCGGGATCGTCCCCGACGCCGCCCTCCGCCGCAGCGGGCTCCGCGGGCTCGCCAGGTTTGGGCGTGGGCTTCCTCGCCAGCGTCGCCAGGGAGATGCGCGCGACGTCCAGGATGTTGGCCGCGTTGATCGAATACCAATCCAGGGTGAACACTGCCACGCTGTCCAACGTAGCGCCAAGCATCGCCAAATTGCACATGACCTGCAGTGATGAGTGGAACGTCACTGGCAAGGGAATGTGGGCGCAACCGAGATCTCTGCCTTCAGGTGGCACACGCTCGAGGCCAGACTCGCTTTCCCCAAGCTCCAGCACTGCGAACCAGTACGTGCAGCGCCCAAACTTCAAGATTGGCACGAGGAGCTGCGACGACCCGTCGACGTTGGCGCTGTAGGCGAAGCGAGACGAGGTAGCGAAGGCCTGCCCCAGCTCTGCTTCAATTCGCTTCCTGAAACGGAGCCATAATCTCGATGCCTTCTCTTGAACTACTCTGTCATAGACGCGAGGTGGCACGTAGTGCCCGCACGCGCCCGACTGGCCAGTCGCAGTCGCACGCATGCGCTCATACACTGGGTGCGGCGGCTGCGGCGCCCAGTGGCCCCCACTGGGCTGATCGGCACCAGGGCCGACGTCTGCGTCGTCGCCCCCGCCAGCCTGATCGGCGCCGACGCTGGCGTCTTCAGGGCCGACGCCGCCGTCGATCTCGCAGTCCTCGTCGGCGAACTCGGCGCTCTCGGGAAGCCCGCCGACCGCGTCGCCATCCGCGAGCGGGCCGCGAGCCTCGCCCTGCAGCATGCGCGCGCCATTCGCGCGGAATTCACGGATGGCCAATAGATGGTTGTCGACGCAATCGTTCAAGAGCTGCTGGCGACATTCGCCATTCGCGTCCATCTTGGGATCATCAGGGAGCGTGGCGGTAATGTGCTTCTTGGCAACGAAGCGGGCGTTCATCAACGGGAACGACATGTTCGGCGCAACCTTCCCCATCCACTTGACGATGTTGTTGCATCCCTCCAAATCTCGCGTAGTGACCTCTCGAGACGACGCGACGACGTCGTCGTCGTCGTCGTCGTCGTCGTCGTCGTCGTCGTCGTCGTCGTCGTCGTCGTCGTCGTCGTCGTCGTCACGGCGACACCCCTGGCGCGCCTTGAACGTGGCCGCGACGTCGCAGAGGTACGTGTACATCATGAGAGAGCATTCCCCCGTGTCCGCGCACCCCAAAACATCTGTAAACCAGTGCTCCTTAAACTTGACGGTGAAGTCGTCCGTGAATGCATTGCTCAGGATCTCGACAGCGACGCGCCCTCTGCAGGGGCACTTCTCGCTGGGTGGCGAAACTATCAACCAGAACAGTCGGGTTGGGAACAGCCCGCAAACAGGGTCCAAAATGCGGCGCTTGTAATCGCAAGCAACAGCCAAAACTGCTTCGACTGCTTTGCCCAGCCATTTTGACAAAGAAGAATCTCTATCATCGCCTTGCAAGTACCCCTCGTTGATGATGTCGTTGAGAGGGTTCTCCCACGTATCCTTCGAACTCATCGGGTTGAGGAGGCCGCAGACCTGGTCGTAGACATCGAGGGCTCTCCCCGACACGAGCTGCACAACTAACGGTGGCTTCGTGGGGGATGGCAGGTGCCCATCCCGCAGCTCCTGCATATGCTTCTCTGACGCCGCGAAGGGGTCGTACTCCTGGTACTTCCTCAGCATCTGCGAGAACGCCTCAAGGCCGGCCCTGGCCGTAGATGACACGTGCATGGTGCACCAGAACCACTTGGACGAGACGCTCATCATCGCGTTGGTCGTCCATTTGCCCTTTTTCACAGAGTATAACTTGCAGCTTTCCCCGACGAGCTCCTCCAGCACGTCGGCGCTGTCCCCGAACCTGGATTCCAAAATAACTGAAGTGGTCTTGGTCTTGGCGACCTTCGGCATTTGCTTTGGCTTCTTGGGCTTGGGCTTCTTGAGGAGATGTATAGTAACGTTGGCCTTCGACTTCCCCTTCGCGACGGCTTTAGCTTTAGCTGCAGCCTTGGCCGCCACCGTGGGGTGCAACTTCCTCTGGATCTCGGCGAACGCATCTGGAACAACCATCGCTGACAAGAATATAGACGGCAGATGCCGCCACGCGCCAACTTCTCCCACCCATTTCTCCGTCTCGTTCACTGAAGACCACCGTCCTCGAAGTGGCCGTGGTGGTAGCCGCCGCTTGATTATCTTGAGGGCGTCGTCATGAGGACGCAGCCGCTCCCATTCCATCTTCACTCGGATAGGGTTACCCACGCTCCTGTACACGTTCACGAACGTTGCCAATGCCACCCAGTAATCGTAATGTCTGTGCAAATCAGCCCCAGCAATCAAGTGCGTCAGGTGTTCCAAACACCACTGTCGGGCGTGGCACGTATATCTGATCGGGCGAATATCCTCTTTAATCAAGTTGTCCGCCTCGACCTCGTCGGGCCCAGAATCAGAAAGAAACAGATACGATCTAACATGTTGGGCTTGTCCGGAATCGGTCCAGGTGGGCAGCCCGACCGAGGTCAGCGAGGATTCCAACATATTTCTCACTGTGAATCCATAGCAGTGAACTGGCTGCTGCTGCAGAGGACCATGAACCTGTCGCTTGAACATGCGCCCGAAGGCGTCTCTGAACAGGCATGTGAAACACGAAACAAAAGCTTTCCCAGAATGGGATGTCACGTTCGAGTTCGTGGCGTCGCCCCGTACATTCACAATTGACCAGCGCTTCGACTCCTCGACGCCTAGCCCTTGCGAGCAAATGCCAGCGATATCAGCAAAGCAACGCCTAGACTGCATCAAAATGTTGATGGCGAATATCCGCTCCCACCGTTCAACCGTGTTCTTCCGAACTGGCAACTGCATGGTTTTGACCAGGCCCATACTCCCCACGTGCGTGAGATTTCGGCAGAGAGCCATTGCGTACCCGCCGTGCATAGATACCCTGCCAGTGAGCTTGGCCGATTGCCGCCTGACGTTGCCTGGGGGCAATTGTTATGCCACAGCGAGTGGGGCCGTTAGGGTCGGGAGGAGGAGGAGGAGGATGAGGAGGAGGAGGAGAAGGAGGAGGACGGTGGTTATCCCCTTTGGGGGGTTCGTGTTGGCGGTGTCCCCCGAATCCCCCTTCTCCCTTGTCCCCCCCCTCCCCCATTATCCTCTCCCTCCCCTCCACCGCGTTCTGAAAGCGCAATGCCCTCCATCTGTGTAGCTGTTGCTGAAATCCGCCACCCTCCACGCGCTGCAAACCTACAGAACTTCGGATGGAAATGCGAGGGGGCCTCCGAAGTCTCAAGCGAAACGCCCCGCGGCAAATTTAAGTTCTCCGAGCGCGCCTGCTACCAGGATGGCGCATCGCGAGTGAAGATCACGCGCGTGCTGGTCGGCTTGCCCGAGTCGGTCTAGAAGGTTGCCGTTCTGAGCGCTCAGCTTCCGCAGCTGTCGAAGAAGCTGCGCCCTGGTGGCGAGAACGGGCCGCGCAGCCTGCTTCGCCTGCGGCCTCGCCCGCAAGCTGGGCGCTCCGCGCTCGCCCATCGAGCGAACAACCTCGGGGCAAGGCAACCGCCTCAACCAGCCCTTTCATCCTCATTATTGTCCTCCTCCTCATCGTTCCTCCTCATCGTTCCTCCTCCTCCACCACCTCCTCCGCATCCGCCTCCTCCTCGTCCGCATCCTCCTCCTCATCGTTCCTCCTCCTCCTCCTCCTCATCCTCATCGCCCCTTCCATGCTTTCGCCCACATCCACCTCAATCGTCTAACGCCGATCTAAGGTCTTAGATATTCGACTCCAGAGCGTTCGAGCACCCTCGCGGCGCCTTCGCCGCGACCGCATCGAGCGCCAACGCCGAGCACACGGGGGCCCCGACGCCTGCAAGCAGCGTGTGAAGGCTCCTCACGCCGAGGCCGCTCAGGGCGATCTGTCTAGCCCGTCGTTCGAACAATGCCTTCGTGGAGAAGCTGCCATCGCCGATGGCCGAAAGCAGGGCCCAAGCGCACTGAATCACTGCTTTCTGGGAAGGGAACACCAAACGGCCGCCATCATGAATAATGCAGTGGCTGGCCAGACAAGTTGCGAGACTGGCTGCAGTCTGCGAGTTCATGTGCGACTGACTCGGGCCAGGCGGCGATAACCGATCACCGCGGTCGCAGAACCGATGAGCAGTGACTTGTGTCTCGCCACAGCTGTTGTGGCATGGGGCCGTTGTTCCCCAAACAGTGCTTGCACTGAAGGCTCTTGCTTCGTCTAAAAGGAACTAAGCTTGGATGTACCGATGCACCGCATATATTGCAACACAGAGTATGCTACAACACAGTTGTTGGGGTCCGCGCTGGCTAACATTGTTTTACATATGCTGATGGGGTGCATTGCCACTTTGATGATGAGGTTGTTTAGAATATGATATGCCCCGCGTGACCACGAAAAGTATGATATGATGGCATGTGTGCGTTGATATTTTTAATCGGCTCATGTGACATGTGCGTTGAGTTGAGCGCTGCTTGCGGCCTCGGCGGCATCGCAAGCAGCGCTCAACTCAAAAAATGTGCGAAAAAATCGCTAGCGAGCGCTGCCATAGCCGTGTACACACTGCCGATGCTACCTAATCCGAGCCCTCAGACTCACGCTGCTGCTCAGGCGAGTTCAAATCCTCCTCATCCGAAGCATCTCTGGGCCCAGGGAGATCTGGCATGGGCTCGTCCTTATTGGGCAGCGGGATGGCATCTTGGCCGCGCTTCTTGATTGTCCTCTGGGCGGACTGCATGTTTGAGACCTTCACGAGGCGCTTCCCGAGCCACTGTGCGTCCGTGTGGAACTGCACGAGCTTGTCGATCAGGTCTCGGACCAGAGGGTGAGACCCGTCAAGAGTCATATTCATGCGGTTGATGATCTTATACGCATCCTCTCGAGCGTGACTGGTCAACGCGGAAGCGTGGTGGTGGCCCTTGAGAACCTGTGGCATCGCGCTGGCAACTGAGGTCAAAAGAGCAAAACAACACTCAAATGCTAGCGCTCGAGCCTCGGACAGCAGCAGTGCACGCCGCAGACGCCATCCGTTTCCCTCAATGCCCCAAGGGATCGGAGGAGGAGGAGGAGGAGGAGGAGTAGGAGAAGGATAAGGAGAGGAGGAGGAGGAGGAGGAGGAGGATGAGGAGGAGGAGGAGAAGGAGTAGGAGGAGGAGGAGGAGGAGGAGGAGGAGGAGGAGGAGGAGGAGGAAGAGGAGGAGTAGGAGTAGGATAAGTCAAAACTCGCAGTTTCCGCTCCGAGAGCGCATCCTGACTTATTGTCCCCACCGTTGGGGCGCAGATGGGGATAAGTCCCACGACCTGGGTTCCAGCGAACTACTACCTCCCCAGTCTTAGCCTTCAGATTCTCCAACTTCTGCTTCGCGGACTTCGCAGCCTCGGACTTTGATTCGGTCGCTGGCTTAACGCCGTCGCCAATGTTTAGGAGGCGCGCGCTTGCGAACAGGCCCTCGGAAGCGACGATCCACCCCTCGCGCGTGCAGAGAGAGGCCATGGTCACAGCGCGGCTCGCCAGTTTCTTCGACCACTCAAACCCCGCATCACAGAAGGACATCCACTTGGACGGCGACACCTTGACCCCCATGATGTCGAATTCACGAGGCAGGCCGCGCAACCAGTCCATCCTCGCTGCCGCCTGGTCGGGCCGCTCGCCGTCGCCCTCAAGGTCGGCCTCCCGCCGTGGCCAGAACCGGAGATCCAGCTGCGAGCCTGCGCTCAGGGCCGCCCCCGCGCGCCCAGCCTCCGCGCGCAACTGGTGGAAGAACGCGCGGCTCTGCCGCGGGCCGTGCCCGATGTTGAAGATCAGAGTTCCTGCCCGGGCGAAAGGGGCCAGGCCGCTCAGGCTTATCGCCATCGACAGGTCGTCGCGCCAGCGGTGGAAGTCGTCCGCGAGGCGAACCCCCGCGCAGCCGAGGCCCCGGGGCTCGGGGGTGAAAATGAATTCGCCCCCGGCGATCTGGATTTGCTCCTGGTCAGAACATATCGCGAGCGAAAGGATCTTCAGGTCGTCGGGCAGGGGCGCGGCCAGCGGCCCTGGGAGCCCCTGCCCTGTCCGCGCTGCCTTCAGCGGGCCCAACTTCTCGAGGTCGGACAGATTCTGAAACTTTTTCCAGGCCCATGTCTGCGTACATCTCGATGAACCTGTCCACGCGGAGGACGAAGCTTTTCGACGCCAGGCGCGGCTGCGCTCGCAGCAGCAGCTTCCGCTTCTCTGCCAACAGGCCCTCTAGGGGAGGGGGCGCCAGGCGGTGCGCCCTCGCAGTCGCCGTCGCCGTCGCTGCCGCCGCCGCCGACGACGCCCTCGCCGCTGCCGTCGCCGACGCCGCCGCCGTCGCCATCGCCGCAGCTTCCGTCGTCGGTGTCCTCGTCGTCGTCGTCGTCGTCGTCGTCGGCGGCGGCGTCGTCGTCGTCGTCGTCGCCCGCGTCGGTCTCGTCGTCGTCGTCGTCGCCCTCGTCGTCGCCGTCTGTGGCCGCCGTCGTTCAGGGCCTCTGGCTCGGCGAAGAAGGCGCCCGACATCTGACTCATGTGCCTGCCAGCCTTGGCGGCGCCCTCGTCCGTCAGCACGCGCTCCACGCCAGTTTCGTCGAGCGCCCGGGGTCTCGAAGACGGCTCAGGGGCAGGCGTGGTCTTCGGCCCCCGCGGCGCGGTCGCGGGCCGCATCTGGCCCTGGAGCCCCAAGCCAAAAGCAGCGCCATCGGGTCTTGGGCAGACCCGGTGGCCCCGCGGTCTCCGACGGCGCCTCCGGGGGACCCCCGAAGGCCCCCATCGCCCCTCAGAGGGAGGATGGGGGAGAAGCGCGCCTCAGAAGGAGGAGAGATGAGACGCGCGCCTCAGAGGGGGGAGGGAGGAGACGCGCGCCTCAGAAGGAGGGAGGAGACGCGCGCCTCAGAGTGCGCCCTGTTCCGCGAGTCCCGGAACAGCGCCCCGCGACTCGCGGAATGCTTTCCCGAAGCCTGGTTTCATGGGTGCGCTTTCCTAGTCTGCTCGCCGCCCAGACCACGGTCCGCCCAGACCGAGATGGGCGCGAATTACTGGCTTGATCGCCGCCCATGGGGGGCGGGATCCCTGTAGCTGTCCTTTCAGCCAGCGGGGGGCCCGGATGGGCGCGCTTCACTGGTCGACCTGTCCCCCGCCCAGCTGAATAGAGGCCCTTGGGTGCGCTTTACTGGTCTGTTCGCTGCCCAGAGTCGCGGGCGCGCCTTACTGGCCTGTTCTGCCCCCAACACAAGCGCCCCGGAACAGTGTTCCGTCGAGCGCGGAACGCTGTTCTGCAGGGAGGGGGGTTCTTGCCCCCTTCCGCAAGGGCCCTGACTCCAGGCCACACGGGCCCCGAGTGGGGCCCCGAGCCCCCAGGCCACGCCAGGGCGCGGGCCCCCGAAGAAGTTCAAGACCCCGCCCCGGAGACACAGGGGCGAAGGAGGGGGGGGGGGGAGGGGCGGAGTCGGACTCTGGAAGGAAGGAGGGAGAAAGGAAAAGGGGACGAGGAAGAGGGGGGAAGAGAATGGAAGGATAGAGGATCCTGGGAAGGAAGAGGAAGAGGGACGAAGGAAGGAGGCAGGAAGAGGGGGGAGGAAGGAGGGAGGAAGAGGGAGGAAGAGGGACGAAGGGGCGAGGGAGGAAGGCGGGAAGAAGGACGACGGAGGAGGTGAGGAGGAGGAGGAGGACACAACCCAGAGGGCGCCATCGGCGGCGCCCAGAAGTGCACGTCGCGCTTAGGGAGGCAGTAGGTGGCCACCATGACCTTCTCGCCGCTCACTTGCGTCCCATCGAGCGCCGCGCCCCAGTGCGCTGCGCCCTCTGCTGCGATCCTGCGGAGGACGCGCGCGGTGAAGAGTGGCGCGGGGCAGAACGCAGGCGTGGGCGAGGCAGGCGTGATCCTGCTGGTGCTCCTGCTGGGGCTGTCTTCGGTCGTCCGTCGTCGCCCCGTCGGCGTCGTCGGTCTCGTCGTCGTCGTCGTCGTTTTCGTCGTCGGCCCCGTCGCTGTCGCCTCGTCGCGGCCCCCCATCCACAGCTCCTGCTGGAGAAGAAATAGTTCTTTGCAGCAGCCTGTCTGCTGCTCTCGCAGACACTTGCACGGTGCTCTGGCTGATCGCCGCCGTCTCCTCCTTGCCCATCTTGGCCCTCTTCTGCTGGCGCTCCTGGGCGGACAGGAGAGGCGCCGCTGGCCCCTGCGCGGCGGCCATGCCAATCGCAAGTTGGCTCGCTGACCGAACGCCCGAGCCGGCGGCTTTCCGTTTGGCCACGCTCAACGCACCTAAGTACGATGCCGGAACTTCCCGCGATCGCCCTGCACCTCCTTTGCGCACGCCGAGACCGAGGAGGTTGAGGTCGCGCCAGCGAGTGCCCCTCCCTGACACCTCCCACAGGAGCACCCCGTGGTCTAACACGGCGTCCCTCCACGCATTCACCACCTTCAGCAGGGCTGCCCCGCGAAGTCTGCGAACTCCCCCTCGGGCTGTCAGGTGCCCCCCCCCAAGTGCTCCACTAAGTCCACGAGCCGCGCGTCGCCGTCGACCATGTGGTCGCTGATCCTCGCTGGGACTTTCAAGCCGAACTCCGCATCACATGTCTCCCCTCCTCTCTCTATCCGCCCCCCCCGCCCTCCCCTCTCCCCCCCAGTCCGTCTAGGCCCTTCTCTCAAGCCTCTCCAGAGTAGTCAGGAAGCACGCCCGCCCGAGGTCCTCATCACGCGGGCTCGACTCCCCCGGCGCGACCCTTCCTCCGAACGCGACATCTCGCCCTTGTCCACGACCCCCTCCTGCAACACCGTCACGCACCCAGCCGTCCTGGAGCGCGCGGCGATCGACTCTGGCTGGTCGCCGCGATATACTGGCCAGACGAGCATCCTGCGAAGCAAGATCCAATCGCGATCTCCAGTGGGGGCCTCGGCGGCGAGCTCCGCGGGGATAGCCGACGGGCCATCGCCCTCGACGGCCCCCGGGCCCCCCCGCTTGCGCGAGGCGCGGGCGGAGGCTTGGAAGCGATCTTCGCGGAGCCCAGCTTCGGTGCAGAATGAGGGCGCATTCCAGCAGTGCTCTCCGTCACCGCGAGCGCTGCCCCCCGAAGACTCAAAAGGGCGGATTACATAGTCGGCCACTCCCCCGAAAGCCACCCCGAGGCTCACTGGCTTGTCGCCGACGCTCGCTGGCGCTTCGCACTTCGCGAACAGCAGCCGCGCGGGCGCGTGGCCAGGGAACTCGAGCGCCAGCGTCTCGAACTTGGACTGCAACTCCGACGCCCAAGCGGCGCCCTCCTCCCCCGCCGCCGCATCCAGGCGAGCTGTTTTCCAGTCTTGGAAACCTCCTCGCTGTTGCGGCGCGGGCGCGCGCGCGCCGCGCTCGCCCAAAGTAAAGTGCGCAGGGGGCGGCCCTCGTCGCCCCCAGGCCCCAGGAGCAGGGCCCTGTCCTAAACGTCGGGGTGCGGAATCAACTCCGTGAAGGGCCCGCCCGAGAAGACGGCGCCGTTGCCGTTCGCGACCCTGTGCCCTCTTGCGACCGAGTTGTGGAAGATCTGCTTCGCGCCGAAATCCCACAAAGATCACTGCGCCCAAGCCGCGGGGACGGCCAGGCTCATCGCCGACCTGGCCTCGCGCGTGGAGCAGGATTTGCGCATTTGTCGTCGGGGGGGCGAGGGGGAAGCAGAGCGGGCGCCGCGTCCTAGTCCTCCCTTGCATGGGCGACGACGACGACGACGACGACCGCGACGAGGACGACAACGAAGACGACGACGGACGACGACGACGGAAGACGACGGCGACGACCACGACGACGGAAGACGACGACGACGACGACGACCACAACAACGACGACGACGAGGGAAGACGACCGCGACGGCGACGACCACGACGACGAGCACGACAATGACGACAACGACGACGACGACGACGACAACGGCGGACGACGACGACGACGACGACGACGGCGAGGGCGAGGGCGAGCCGCTTCAAATCTTCAGCGCGCACGTTCCCGTCACACTTGGTTGTCAAATGCATGGCTGTCCAGGCCACGTGGGGTGCACGACAAAAGCCAGGGGCGGATGCATTGCGGTTGCTCGCGTCGTCGTTGCCAGACCTCTCCTCCGCCTGTCCTCGCCCCCCCCCCCCCTTCTCCCCCTCCTTCTCCCCCTCCTGCTCTCGGAGCGAGCTGCGCACCCAACGCGCCCCCGCGAACGGCTGGGGGCCAGTCCCGCTTGCGGCGAGAAGCCAGCGCGCCGGGGCACGGCAGGGGGGCCTCCAAAGGTGGAAACTCGAAACTCGCACTCCCCAGGCCGGCCTCGAACCGAAGAATCTCCAAGTTTGAACATCGAAGTTCGAGCTTCGAAATTCGAAATTCGCAGTTCGAACTTCCAGCTCTGAACGTCGTGTTTTGGAGGCCCCCCGCCAAAAGAAATTGACTAGAGGGGGGGGGGGGGGGGGGGGCGGAGGGGGAAGAGGGGAGGTGGGGAGCAGGTCTGGCCGTTCGCCGCCGGGTGAAAGAGAGGGGGGGTGGGGGGGGGGGGGGGGGGGGGGCGGAGGGCGGGATTGGCCGGGGAGGAGAAGCAGCGGAGGAGGGCGAGAGGAAGGAGGGATGCAAAGGGGGGGCGCGAGGAAGGATACTTCTCTGTCTCTCTCTCGCGCAGCCCAGCGGACCGCGAAGCTGTCTGCGGCGAGGCGCGCGCCTGCCGAGGCGAAGGGTTGCTGCGCCCTCGGAACACCCCAGGTTCCTCCACGCAGGTCCCTCCCGGCGCCTCTGCCGCCCCCCCCCCCCCCGCCCCCCTCCCGCCCCCCCCCTCCCGCCGCCCTCTTGTCCGTTCCGTTGGGGGTCGGGCTCCGAAAAGCGGTCGGCCCGAGCGGGCGGGCCTAGCATGTCGCCGTCGGTGGCGGCGCCTGGGGCTCGCAGCCGCGAGGGCGCCTCAGCGCGCGCGCCCCTTGACGTCGCCGCCTTTGCCGCCGCCGCCCTTGCCGCGCCTGCCCCCCCCCATTCCAGTTCCAGTAGCGCTCCTCGCGCGCGTCGCCCCTGCGAGCGCTGCAGTTGTCGCCCCCGCAGCGCGCCCGCAACCTTCGGGACGGACATCGAACTCCGAGCTTCGAAGTTCGGGCTTCGAAGTCTTCGGAGTCTTCGAACTTCGAAGTTCGAACTTCGAACCTGGGGCCCCTGGAATTCCCAGGGCCCCCCCCTGAGGAGGGCCCCCCCCTGTTAACTGGACTGGGACCTCCCCTTGCCAGAGACGCCCGTGCCCTCCGGGCCGCCGCCGTCCTTAATGATCTGCCAGCACCCCATGTTGGCCCAGGCACAGCCCAGCGGCGTGGCCCCGTCATCGTTGGCCAGATTGGCGCCCGCCCCGTGCTGCAGCAGGGCGCGCGCCTGGCTTATCGCCGCTGCCCCCGCGGCCTCGAGGAGCGGGGTCGAGCCGCGATTACCCCGGAGGTTCAGGTCCGCTCTGTGCGCAATCAGGATGCGCATCATCGAGCACTCGGCGTCCGCGTTGTTCTTGTTCTGCGCGAGGATGTGCAGGGGCGCCCAGCCGTAGGCGTCCTTCTCGTTCAGGCTCATCGCCGTTCCGCGCCCTGTGCGGGGCATATCTGCTACAGCAGATCCGGGCAGTTCGCGTCGCTGGCCCTGAACAGACAAGGTGGAGACAGTCGACCTTCGAAGTTCGAAGTTCGCAGTTCGAAACCTGAAATTCGACCTTCGAGCTTCGAATTTGAAAAGTCGCACTTCTGTACCTTGCCCCCAATGCCTCTGGCTCACTCCGCAGCACATCTCCAGCACCAGGTCATTGCCGCCCTTGGCGACGGTCGCCTCTGGCCTGACGCCGACGCGAACCGAGAAGTCCAGCAGCCCCCTGCCGAGCGGGACCTGCTGCTGCTGCTGGGGCTGCTGGCTTGTCGCCGCTGCTGCTGGGGCTGCCGCCGCCGCGACCCGCCCGCTGTCCTTGCGCAGCTCCTCGAGAGAGCCGCTGGGTGGCGCAGGGGCCGAGCCGCCGGCTGCGCTGCTGGAGGCGGCACCAGCTGGTGGCGGCTGGCTCGGCGCCGCCTCCTCGTCCGAGCCCGACTGGCGCCGAGCCATGGGCGCCAGGGCTGGAGGCGGCACCAGCTGGTGGCGGCTGGCTCGGCGCCGCCTCCTCGTCCGAGCCCGACTGGCGCCGAGCCATGGGCGCCAGGGCGGTGGCGCAGAGAGCGGCTTCGTCTCCAGGAGTGACGGCCTCTCTCCATTCTCCCCCCCCCCTCCCTCCCCCCCCCCTTCTTTTCCTTCTTCATCCTCCGCCCCCCATCCCCATTGGCTTGGGCGCCGCTTCCTCCGCCAGCTCCCCCGCGTCCGCGCCGGGCAGCAGAGCTTCGGCCGCCTGCTGCGTCAGGCTCTGCGCGCGCACCAGGAGCTCTGTCATCTCGGCCACCTCGCGGCGCTTCGCCTCCGACGGCCCCTTCTCGGCGCCGAGGGCCGTCTCGGCGCGCATCTTGAGAGTTCGCACGAGCGCCTCCTGCGCGGCGAACGCCTCCTCGAAGGAGGCCTCGCCCAGAGCGTCGTCGCGGCTGCTGGGGCTGCCGGCTTCTCCCCGCTGCTGCTGGGGCTGCTGGCTCGTCGCCGCTGTTGCTGGCGCTGCCTTGCAGGCTGGCATGCTCTTCGGCCTCGCCCCCGCTGGCGGGTGCTTCGAGGGCGCCCCGAGGAGGGGCGGCGGGGCCCCCGCGCTGGGGCCCTCGGAGTCCGCGCCGCGCCCCCGCGAGCGCCCGCGGGCACGCGGCCGCGGCGGAGGCGGCCCCTGAAGCGAAGCGGCCGCCCTCGAGGGCGGGCGCCGCTGCTCGGCCTTGGCAGGCAGCGACGCGCGCTGGCGAGCCGCCAGAGCTGCTGCGCGGTGGGCCTGGCTCGGGCCCCCAATAAAAATTCTGGAGTGAATCCAGGCTTCTCGCCGGCCCCCCCCCCAGGCATCTCGCCGCCCCCCCCCCCCCCCCGCTCGAAGCGAAAGGGCACCCGGGGATTCAGTGGGGGCGGCGGCGGCCACATCGCCAATCAACTCCAAAACGTATTTCTCCCCGCGCAACCCACCCCAAAACTGCCGATCCACCATCATGCCTGGCGTCTAATGTGATAGACTCGGCAACTTCGCTGTCTTCTCTCCCCCCTCCCTTCTCACTCCCTGTTCCATGTTATGTCCTCCGTCCTCTCTCCCGTCGTTCTGCCCTCCTCTCTCCGGGCCCCCCCCCCCCTTCTCCTCCCCCCCCCCTCCCAGGAGCGCCTGCGGCGCTCGAAGTTCGAAGTCCGAACTTCGAAGGCCGACGTTGGAACTTCGAACTGCCCCCGAGCTTCGCGGCGCGACGGTCGAAGTTCGAACGACCGCGACCACGACGACGACGACGACGACGACGACCGCGACGACGAGGAGGAGGACGACGACCACGACCACCCACGACGACGGCGATAAGGACGACCACGACCACGACGACGACGACGACGACGACGGCGGCGACGACGACGACGACGGCGGCGACGACGACCACGACCGCGACCACGACCACGACGACAATAAGGGCGCCGCCGCCTGAATGGAACGCCGCCGCTTCGGCAGCGGACCGCAAGCGCGCGCGGTGCGACGGGGGGCGGCCGCGCGAAGCCGCGCGCGGTGGAGGTCGCCCCCGCCATGCCGACTAGGGCCCCGCCCGGCGCGGTCGAGGCAGAGGCCCCGCGCGGGCCTGCGCCTGGCTCGTCGCCGCTTGGCGGGGAGCAGGGCTCTGAGAGGCCGCGGCCTGGGCAGGCGGGGCGGCCTGGGCCGCTGCTGGCTTCTCGCCGCCGCGCCGTGCGTCGGCGAGCTCCTGGGCGGGCCGCCGGCGGCCGTCCGCCTCGGACCGCCGCTCGATGAGCTCGAGCGGGGGGCGCTGCAGAACAATGGCCTCCTGGCCTTTGTCCGCGTTGCCGCGCTCCGTCTGGAGGCGCTGGCGGAGGCGCCAGCCGTCGCCTCGGCGTCGTTGAGGTACTTGCCTGCCGCGCTGTAGCTCGTCGGGCCAACGGCCGTGACGCCGCCCATCTCCGTCGGGAAACGGACCAACCAATTGGAGCACAACTGGGCTAGCTCGTCGCGCAGGTGCCAAGCGTTCGACGAGCGCATCGTCGCGCGCAGGAAGGGCGACGGCGACGCGGGGCCGTTGCCGTAGGCGACCGCCTCAAGCAAGACTGGCGCGGAACTCGTCGTGGTTCAAGCAGCCGAAGTCTCTTGGTTGGCGCAGCGACGCTGGCTTTTCGCCGCGCCGAAGGACTCTGCACAGCCACTTGTCGTCGTTGCGCTGGCGGGCGCACCGCTCAATCGCGGCGCGTTGGAACGACTCTTCAGGCCCAATGTCGGAGCCCCGGTGGATGTGCAGAAGGGCCCGGCAGAACTTGGAACTTGGAACTTCAAACTTGGGACTTCGAAGATCGAACTTCGAAGTTCGAACTTCGTTCGAACTTCAGAATTAGATCTTCGAGCTTCGAACTTCGAGCTTCGAGCTTCGCGAGCCCCCCCCCCCCCCAGGAAGGGGGGAGGGGGGGGGGGGGGGGGGGGGGAGGGGGGCGGGGGAGAGGAGGGGGGGGGAGGGACGGGCGAAGGAGGGAGGGCTGAGGGGGGAAACGGGAGCAGGGAGGGAGATGAGAGGGAGGAGGGAAGACAACGAGGTTGTCGAATCTGCCACGTTGGACGCCCACGCGGGCCTGCGCCTGGTGCGTCGCCGCGCGCGCTGGCCGCGGCTGCGGCGCGGCCCCCTGTGGCTGCGTGGCCGCGTCGCCGCGCGGCGTCTGGCTCGTCGCCGCGCGGGCGGGGGGCGCCACTGAACGGGGGCGCGGCGGCGGCTACCCCGCGGCCCAGGCCTGGGCCCGCAGGGGCCCCTGGCCCTGACATCCAGCGTCGCGAGAAACGTCGCGAGCTCAACTCGCGACGCGAGAGAAAACTCACGACATCCAGAATATTTCACGACATGACAACAGCACAATCATGTTGAACCGAAGCAATCACGATGATCAGAAACAAATAAGATGCGGTTGTCGATGGTGTATTGGCGCAGATGTCTTAGTTGTAGTGTGCGAGTTGGAATCCTTGCAGGGGTCGGGCGTTGTCGCCCGAACAGGTTGGGTTGTGCTTGTCGGAGCCTTCTGGGCCTTTGCGGGAGCGTTTGAAGCTTTGTCTCTTGAGGCCTTTTTTTGCGGAGGCCTTTCTTGGAATCTTTTGCTGGAGACATAAATGGGGGCCTGTTGGAGCCCCGGGGGGGGGGGGGCCTGGGGCCGCGGGCATGCTCTTTCTTTTTAGAGGACAAGGGGGGCCGTGCATCTCAACTGTTAAAATGCGCGGCATGTGGCCAGGTGCGCAGGACACGCATCTGCCGTACATTCGCATGTGAAACGGAAGGACAGCAAACAACACATGCAGACGACGTGTTGCCTACCTATACGACCACCCTGCGGGTGATAAGGAGGGTGTGGGGGGGGGGGGGGGGGGCGGGGGGGGGGGGGGGGGGAAGGGGGAACCAACGTCTCACTCAATCGATCTCGCCATCGATCTCACATCCGGTCTCACATTCGGTCTCACATTCGGTCTCACTATCGATCTCACTATCGATCTCACAATCGATCTCGCAATCGATCTCACGATCGATATCCCGCAATCGATCTCACATTGGGTCTCACAATCGAACTCTCATCATCATCACCATAATCATCATCATAATCATCATCATCGGGACATCATCATCGTCATCATCATCAAGATAATCATCATCATCATCACCATCGGGACACCATCATCAGCATCGACATCATGATCATCAACGTCATCATCATCATCATCATCGGGACCCCATCATCAACATCATCATCATCACCATCATCAACATCATCATCAACATCCTCGTCATCGGGACACCATCTTCATCAACATCATCAACGTCATCATCAACACCACCATCATCATCACCATCATCACCATCATCACCATCAGCATCTGACACTCGATCTGACTATCCATCGCACAATCGATCTCACAATCGATCTCACAATCGATCTCACATTCTGTCTCAATACCGATATCACAATCGATCTCGCAATCGACGTCATCATCATCAACATCAACATCATCAACATAATCATCATCATCGCCATCATCAGCATCATCATCATTACCATCATCATCACCATCATCATCATCATCATCCACATCATGATCGGGAAACCGACGAGACACCGGCGGGGCACCGCTCGCCACCGGCCACCCGGTGGAGAATCATTTGGTCCGGCCGCGCCTCAGCCACAGAGGACACCGCCGGGGCGCCGGCGGGGCGCCGCGCGCCGCCGGCCGCCCGGTGGAGAATCATTTGGTCCGGCCGCGCCTCAGCCGCAGGAGACTTTCCTCTCGCCCGCCCGCGCAGCTTCGCCTCGCCCGCGCGCACGGCACGCACGAACACGAAACCGAAATCGATTTCCCGGTAGGGGGGCTCTCCGTTCCACTTCGATCTCGCCCCCTCACCTCCGATAATAATAGTATTGGTGGTGGTAGTGGTGGTAGTAGTAGTAGTAGTAGCAGTCGCAGTCGTAGTCGTAGTAGTAGTAGTAGTAGTTGTTGTTGTTGTAGTAGTAGTACTACTACTACTACTAGCACTGGTACTATTAATATATAATTGAATGGAGGAGTATAGAAGCAATACTCGTAGCATAGCCGCACATCCATATTTCGCGATGCCCGCGTCGCCACGAAGAGGAGGATCAGGGGGAACATGCTTTTCACAACGCACATATGTCAAGCAAGTGGAAGCAGTCTTTGCGACATGGCCTTGTCGACAACGCCCAGGCGACAACGCGCGGACCTGATATCTCCTGCCGGGGGGGGGGAGGGGGGGGGGAGGTGCAAGTGCGGCTGTGCTGATGGTTTGTCTGTGCACGACAAATCGGGCAAGCAACGCAGTCCACCGCTCAAAGCGCAGGGGCTCGCACGGCCTCAGGTGCGCAAGCGCCCCCGCACAGGGAAACAGGGACGCAGCGCGCATTCCATGTATGTATGTACATGTATACATTTATATATATATATACATATACATACATGTACATACATACATACATACAAACACACACATATATATACACATGTGTATACAGTTATGTGAATGTACATGTTTCTGCATCGCCCTCTTCTTCCTCCTCGTTGTCCTGGGCCTCGCGCGGCGCCCCCCGCCAGGCCGCTCAAATGCGGCGGCCGCAGCGCTGGGGGCACCTACGGATCCGGGCCCGAGCTAAAAAATGAGGGGGTGCCAGGCGCAGTCGCTCTTATTCCTCTTCTTCTTCGCCCTCGTCCTCTTCTTCCTCCTCGCTGTCCTGCCCCTCGTTCCTCGACTCGCGCGGCGCCCCCCGCCAGGCCGCTCAACCGCGGCGGCCGCAGCGCTGGGGGCACCCGCGGACCCGAGTCCGCACGGCTAAAAAATGAGGGCGTGCCAGGCGCAGTTGTTTTTTTATCCGGATGGTGATGAATGTTGTTGTTGGATGTGATACGATGCGTGCATGCGTGTGCACAGCTCATCCACGCGCTGCATGCGTGAAGAAAGTTAAGTTTATAGGTGATTGGTTGGATGTGGCTGGCGGTGATAGAGGTGGCGACGACGATCGCGATGGCGCCGGCGTTCTTCGCGATGCTGGCGATGATGGCGGTGATGATTGTGATGGCGACGCGAGGCAGTGAGCGGTTTGGAAAACGCAACAGGAAAAACCACGTGGCCCTCCTCCCCCCCCCATATAAGACCCCCATCCACTTGCAACATATATTCAGCAACTCTCAGGGGGGACTTTCTCCAGGACTCGCCTGTAAAATGTGCCACCTGCGCGGGGGGACTTGGCAACCGTTCCCACGATGCGATTTTCTTGCTCGTCGGAGTACGTCCAATATAAAATCGGGGGTCCCCGTGGACGCGGGCCCATTCGGCCGCGTGCACCACCATGTGGTGCTTAAAAATTTGGCGCCCTCCAGCCGATTTCCCAAAATGGAGGAATCTCAGCGAAGCCTTTTGCAACCGCTCGCATCCGTCACCCGACACCCCCCTCGGTTCTCGTTCCACAATGCGGCACGCCTCATCCAGCGCATTCGCAGCCATCGATAACTGGACGGCCTCGGGCCCTAAGAAAACTTTGCTTTCACGGCAAAGCTGCGCTGCAAAAGGTGCCGGGTGCCTGGTTTCAGCTCCTTTTGCTTTCAAGCAAGGGAACTTCGATCCGCCTCCACTTTTGCCACCAGGCACAAACATTTTGCACGCGATGCGGTGGGCGCGGCATCTCTTTCCTCTCGGCAGCGGCGATGACACGTAGAAGGCCCGCAGCCGCCTGGGAGTAGAGATGCCAGACGCGCCAACATCACATGGCCACCGACCCTGCGCGACATCGATCACGCGTTCGTCGTTTTCCTCCTCGCCCCCCCCCCTCGTCTTCTCCTTCCTCCTCTCCCTTCGCCTTCCGCCTCCGTCCAACACCGCCCCCCGACCACGCGGGAAATGCGTCGACGCTGAAGGAGGTGGCAATTCGAAATGGACGCGTCGAGCATCCCTTCGCGCCTCCTCAAATGCAGGAGGTTGTCGCGTTTTCGGGGCCCTGCCCTCCCCTTCAAAGAGCGGGCGACACTGTTTTCGGTAAGCAAAAAAACAATTTGCCCAACACGCAGTGGGCGGCGCCCAGATCTAATATGTGCATAACGTGAAGATGGAGCTCCTTCACGGTGAATCCGACAACACTGAATGCGGGGGAAATCTAATTGCGCCCAACGCCAGCACGATTGTTGAAGAATGTGAGCCTAACCGGAGGGACCAACTCATGCAATCGATGTGTATCAGTGACGGGGCCTTGTTCAATAATGCGAAACCCAGAGCGCAGATTCGACCCCCGCGCCTCCTGGAACGCGGCGCAACCGCCAAATTCTTCAACGAAACGCATCGATCCCAAGAGTTTCATCAACACCGCACGCGTTGTCACATCCAGAGTAACTGTCGATCTGTCCACCATGATTTGATGCGCAGTAACATCCCGCGGGGCCCACGTTGATGATTCTAAACTGGTGGGGCATTGCAACAAATCTGTGTTTTTTGTTACAATCGCACCTGAAACGCGGCTGTGTACGTTGCTCCACGTCTTGAAACCAAGAGCGCCGACCATCTCCAATATATCAGAACGCATTTCGGTCAAAGCTCCCACCCACCCAGATGCGAGGGGCTGTCCTGCCTTAAGAGGCGACCCCATATCAGTGGATACTTTACCCAGATGATCTCTCTCGACGAGGATGATTCCCGCCAGCGAGGACGTTGAACGACCATGAAATGGCCCGCAACAATGTCCCGAGCGTGCAAAACCCTTCGCAACCACATTTGCACACGTCGGATTTGCGAAAGGCCGCAATCAGATACCTGCAGGAATAACGTGGGGCAAACAAGGCATTACTTCTCTGTCTTCCTCCTGCTCCTCCTTCCTCCTGTTCCTCCTTTATTCTGCCCCTCCTCTTATCCTTCCTGATTCAGCGCGCGGCGCGCTTGATTGCCCCCGCGAACCTCCGTCCAGTGAGGGCGTTCGTGAAATAGTGGGCAAAGAACGAATCTTTGCGCGCGCGCGCGGCAAGCCATCAGTAAAAATACCCTACAGGGACAGCGCGATCACGCCGTCGCACAACGGCGCGATCGGCAAACGTTGGCGGCAATGCGTCCACATCAAGGTTGACACAGGGGGCCGGCATACGCATTGAGATACGCATGCTTGTGCATTCGCAACACCACCCATCCCTGAATATTTCGTCGCGTCTTTCGGGGCGGGGGGGGGGTCGAGAGCACGTGCGCGCGCGCGAACACGCGCGTCAATGCGCATGCCGACCCCCTTTTCTGGGGCCCCAATCTCCAAGGTTTTCGGCGAACGATATGCAGAACTGCCCGCGCGGGAGATTCATAGGGGAACGCGCCAGCCCCCTGGAAGTGGCAGTGTCGTTCCACGTCGGCAAATATGCGCAGTAAAAATTTGAGGGCGAACGCGCCCCCAATGCCTTCCTGAAGTGTTCTGCATGGTGAGTTGATGACGGGTGCAACGATAAATCTGCAACCTCTACAACCAGCCCTCGTGGCATGATATGACAGGCTACAGACAGCAACGGCGCTCAATGCGCCGCGCCTGTAGGCCCCCAGCATGCGCTGACGAAGGCCCGCCCCTCCACCGGAGGACTCGCCCTCGTCTCTTCCTCGGGGGCGGGGCGATTCAACGCTCAACCTCTTTGCGACCGCCCGCGCCGCCATCCAGCGCGGATATCCCCGACGAGAAATGGCGATGGCGAGCGCCTGGACCGACAGAGCTACGGAGTAGTGCTGCTGGCGTTGTTAGCTGTTGTTCCCGTCGTTAGTTGTTACTGCTGTCGCATCATTGCTAGGGCGGGGGGAAGGGGGATTAGCATGTCTGTCGCGAGGGTGAGAGGGGGCGGGTGGCGGAGGTGGGCAGGGGGCAAGCGCTGCCAGTGCACAGAGGCAGTTGGCCTTAACCCACCACCTCCCTGCGGAATTTGAAGGGGGGGGCACTGCTGCGCCCCTGAATGCTGACCACTGTCCTGCCCTATTTCGCCTCGCCTCGCGGCCAGGGCTGCGACCCCTGAGCAATCCCACGCAAAGGGAAATGATAATTGAGAAGGCGTTGTCAAAAGCGGGCCCCGAGGACTTGCTGTCACCACCGTGCCAGTGTGCAGTAACACCCCCCTCCACTGTATACATGTAAATATGTATATATGTCTGTATATGCATGTACACGTATACCAACTCATCTAGATAATTGTACATAGAGTTGGCCACGCATTAGCATGGCAACCCACGCTAATACATGGCCACCTCCTGCATCAGCATGGCACCCCCACGCTAATGCATGCACGACCTTGCACCGGCATGGCAGCCCCACGCTGACGCAATAAAACATACCACATGGGGCGCATGATGATGTTTCTGAACGCAGCTGCAGTGCCACCGCAGCTCTCACCAGCGCCCCACGCGCGGCTGATCCCCATGCACCGAGTTCCGCGCGCGGGCGAAATTCAGCAACGCGCAGGGCGTCGCCCCCCCCGGCCTCCGTATACATAATGCGTCTCCTGTTCTGTCTTGGCTCATCTCTTTTCTCGTCCCCGCTCGAACCGCGAACCTTGAAGCTGAACGTGCGTGCTGGAAGCGGGCCCCACTCAAGTGCGCCGACTCGAGCAGATCATTGGAAACGGGTGCACATGCACGCGCTTTCGCGAGCAGCAAGCTAGCTCGAGCTCCCTCGCCCCCATCCCTTCCTCAGTACGATTTCTCCTTCCTTGCCCTGCCCTCCTGAACATCCCGGGCTCCACGCCTGCGCTGCGCGCGGGCCTTGCTCCGAGCGACAGCCCCCATCCTAGCAGACTTCATCACTTGGGCATGCCTTTCTTGGACCCGATGGCCGCGGGCGCGGCGGCGTAAGTATTCTTGAGCGGCCCGGTGACCTCCCACAGGGTCTTCGCCTTCGATTCACCGCAAAAACAAGAGCACATTCTCATCGTCCCCACCCCCCCCTCTCGATCGCGCCCTCGGCCCTGCCCGGACTCACCCTCGCAAGCTCGCCGGCCAACCCTGCTGTGCAAACGTTCATTCCTCCAGTGTTCCCCCTGCCCTGTTGGCATGGCCTCCGCGATGCCATTCTTCGCCCCCTGCGGGTTTGCCGGCCTGCGGGTGCGCGGGGGCGCGGGGGGTGGGAGGTCCAAACTAGCATGCGCGTCGTTCCCCTGAACACCTCTCTGGATCCTCCATCTGGAACGTCCACGTTTAGAACTTCGCGACGCGCGGTGACCAGGGCGCATTGCGATGGGGGGTCGGGGGCCTCATCAGCAGTGTCAGGATATGGGGCCCAGATAGAGGATCGAGATTGATGCTCAGGAAAAAGACCAGCCCCTTGAGGAATACGGCCAGGAGCAGCGGAGGGACGAGGAACAGCATTACTTCCCACGAGCTCGACAATGTCTGAACAACATATGTCCCCATCGCCTGCCGTCACCACCGATCCTCCAGGATAGCATCGCTTCCTACGAGCTCGATGTGTCTGGCCAGCATCTGTCAGAAATCGTCGGCCTGCTGCCGAGCCTCGATCCATCTCTTCACGTTCGATGTGTCTGGCCCGCACGCGTCACTCATCATGTGCTATCGCCGCCGGGGCTCCGAGCAGGCTGCCGACCAGCCTCGGCAATGTGTCGCCCCGACTGCCCACGCAGGAACATCTTTCCTCCTCCTCCTCCTCCTCCGCGCACCCCCTTGGCGCGCGCATTAGGTTCCCCTTATTCCTCCTCGTATTCCCCCATCGCGTCCCGCAATGCTCCTCGTCCCCATCTCACTCTTCTTCTGCGTTATGGTCTCATGCCCCCCCCCCCCTCTCCGCGCGCTCTTCTTCCTCGCCCTCGCCCCCCCGCTCCAGCGCAGGGCCGCCCCTGGATCTGCTTGGCGATCTCGAGGGTACCCTGTTCCAGAGCCTTCGGGGGCGCCTGGGCCTCCTTCTCGAAGGGCTTCAGCCGTGGGTCGCCTTCCACATCCGACCCCCATCGCGCGCTCGAGCGCGCCGGGGGAAAGTGAAAGAGGATCGCGGCCCAAAAGTGAATCGCACAACGCTGCGGTCGCGTTCTGCGGCCTCGTGCGCCGCGGAAAACGATGCCAATATCATAGTGTTAGCTCTATCGGTATGCTTGTCTTTTTGTGTCTTTATTCATGCACGGGTCTCTCTCTATTCGTTGTCCGTTCCCTTTATATCGGAATATGCATAGATGCCTTTCTCTCGCACTCTCTCCCTCTTTCTCTCTCTCTCTCTCTCTCTCTCTCTCTCTCTCTCTCTCTCTCTCGATGCCCCCCCCCATCGCCCGTTTTCCTGCCCACCTGCAGCCCACGAATAAATGCTTTCAGCGTGGCCGCCGGATCCAACAGCGCCGCCGCTTCCGCCATCAGCGCATTGGCGGGGGCAGTCGCCGTTGATGCGCTGGCCGCGCCACCCTGCTCATTCTCAGAGTCGTCTGAGTCGCTGTAGAAGCTGGAGTGCGAATCGTCGCCCTTCTCAGCCTGCCCCGTCTTTCCATCGGCCGCCCCCTTGCCCGACCACCTTCTCTGCTCGATTCAACGGCACTCGCGTCCTATTGGTGGCCCCTCGTGCTCCCCCGTCCTGCCTCGCACTCCTTCCGCGTGCTCTTACTCTGGTGCGCCTGCCCCTGGCCCTCCTTCCTATTCCCGCGCCCTTCATTATCGACTTATTCCTCTTGCTCCTCTAACCTGCCCCTTCCCCTTGGACCCTCTCCTGCCCCATCGCCCCCCCCCCCCTCCCGCCCGCCCGACCCCCTGATCTCCTTCGCCTTCGTGGCGCGGCGCTGCCCAGCTGGGCCCCCCAGCCTCGGCGGAGCGCATCGCAGCCCCCGGCGCCTGGAGACTCGGAAGCAAGGTATACAGCGCTTAGTTCTTGCACGGGCTGTCAAGCGCCAAGCGGGAAACTCGGGATCAGAAGAATCGAGGATGCGCGCGATGGGTAGCATTAGAGGAGTTCGAGGAGGATGAAGGCGACGACGGCCCGATGATGCAAACCATGACCGCGGGGCGGACATGCCCATGACCACCGTCATTTGGGCGGGGGGGGGGGGGGGGGGGGGGCATGGATCGGGCGGGGCGAGGGCCGCCACGGGCAGATGAGCACGATGAGCCCAAGGACGAGGATGGCGCGGGAGGCGCGGGCAAGCGCCTCGCGCTGGAGGTCGCTGAGGTTGATATTTGTGCACAGCGTGTCGCCGCGCTGCGGGTGCACCTCCAATGCCCCATGTGTAGGAGGGGCGAGAGGGTTGATGGCGAGGAGGGTGGAGCTCGCATCGTTGTCCGCATGCTCGCGTGACCTGTTTCCCGCCTGCCTGAAACTATTCATGTTGCCCCTCCTGCCCTGGCCATCCTCGCACGTGCCCCTCCTACTTATCCTATGTGCCCGTATCGATATCGCATCGTTCCGACCCCCAGGGTTGCCCTCCTCTTCCCCCTGCAGTCTCATCCAACGGGCCCACCGTGCAGGCCCCCGCCCCGCCATCTTCTAGCCCTTCTGGGCGCGGCAGAAGTGGGCGATGGAGTCCGCGCGAGCTCTAGCCCTGCGCAGGCGGGGTGCCCCA